ATATCTTTCCTGACTACAATTCTACAATTTTGTGACTAGCATATTATTAAGAACATTGAAAAGAGGCTTGCTAACAAGGGCTATCCTAAGGAAGATTCAGAAGAAGATAAGGCTAATCGTACAGAGATTTATTCAAAGCTAAGGCTTAATAAAATCAAATATCTTAAGGACTATTAGGGTCCTAAGGAGTCGCAATTTCTACGTATTTATATTTGTAAGTATCTAAATTTGGGCGCTCATTCAAATCAACGCTTAGAGAGTCTTTACCTTAGTACTAAAGATATACTTAATAAGCAGATAGATATAAAAGAAGCTAGCCGTCGACTTAGAGCTACTATATAGTCAAAATTGCGGCAGCTATCTAATAAAGAGGCTTGAAATAATAGTAAACTACCTTGTACACTTAATTCACAAGCGTTTTTACTACTAACAGATATAATCTCGCTTTTTGCTATATTAAAGATCTCCTCTGAATAGGAGATTACAAAAGAAGAGATGAGCAAAGGCTCTCTACGCCTTACGGTACCCTGTTTTAAGTGCGAATTACTTGTTCGATTTGGTCTCCCTTGCAAGCACTATCTTGCGCAACCATTTGAGGATGGTGCTCCTATCCCTTGATCCTTAATACACTCTTATTAGTAGATTAATGGTAAGCCTATTCGTATCGCCAATTAGGTACCAACATACCGTACTTTTGCCCTACCGATATCCCCCCCACAATAATCTACCTCTTACTTGCAGAATCCTTATATCTCTCCTAACAGGAATCAGATCACAGGGCTTGGTCTACAAGTTCTAGAGGCTAGAGAGGACCTTACAGGTTACGCTCATACACGATATGATCAAGCAGCTACGAATGCTCAACAGGGTCTTGTTCAATTCGCTCAAGAGCTTAAAGGGGATGATCTTAATACTCGAATGCCAGATACTATTAAGAAGCCAGGGTGGAATAGGCAGTTTAAGAGTCATGACAAGGTCAATAAGCGACTTATGACAGGAGCTGAGGCAGCAGAACGTGACGTCAATAATAGAGAGCAGGTTGCTGCTCAAGAGGCACGCCAGGAGGCTAATTTAGCCCAAGCAGCTTCGTTTATAGCAGGGCCAGTACCCCTCGCAGGGCCTCCTCCTCCTCCTCCTCCTCCTCCTCCTTCTACAGCTCTTGTTGACGTGGAGAGCATCCTTGATACCCCCCCTCGTGGATCCGCCGCCGGCGCCGTTGCTATCGCCACCACCACCACCACAACAATGGTTCATCCGTCCTTCCCGGAGGATGAAGAAAAAGAAGAAGAAGGAGAAGAAGAAGAAGCTACAGATGAGGCTTTCATACCCCCTCCTTCAACGGCGCCAGCAGCGATGACGCAATCAAGAGCTGGCCGCAAGAGAGCCCCCACAATGAAGGCGTTAGAAGCCGAAAAGGCGCCAAAACGGGGTGCAGGGCAGAGCAGGGGCAGGGGCAGAGGCAGGGGCAGAGAGGCCAGAAGATAGAGCGATTTCTGCAACACCACATTTTCTATATCTATTTCCTAATAGGGAAGTCACAACAACGTCAATAGAATGTATCAATTTCTGTGCAAAATCTTCATAGTACTTGAATGGTCAAGGTGGGTGGATTTGCTAGCAATTTGTATGACAAATTACCCGCCAAGACCCAAACGCCGAATATACCGTTGCCGAATATACCGCTCTGAATATACCGCTCCGAACGCATTCCGTCCTCTCCGTGGGTTATGCCGCTATTAGCGTATTTCTTTAAAATAAGGTTTTGAGCCGCATCTTCTCGCCGCAGATCTCCTATCGCTCGAAATTTTCAGCCATCTACCATGCTACGGCCATAACATTCTACGCAGATTCCTTTGAGATACAGATTAAACTCACCTCCAAGATCGCAGAAAAGCAATAGCGAGCCCAAAAGACGCAAAATTAGTCCCAAAAACGTTGATCGAAATGATGTTGATCAGGCCTTAGCAGTCATCGCACCTGCGCCGCAATGCAGTGATGAACCACCCACGTTAATTCCAATAGAACTGCCTCAATTTCAGGCCAATTACGTTTGGAATCGACCTGGCTGCTCTTAATATACTAATCTATCGGAAATAGACTTTTTTAAACTCTTTTTCAGCGATATCGTGGTTGAAGTCATCTCTAAAGAAACCAATTTCTACGCCAAATTTCATCTTTAAAATCCTTTTCTCTCTCTCCACGAAACCCGTCATTGGGTACCCACAACGCCTAATGAAATACGTGTGTATCTGGGCGTTAACATATACTTTGGCTTGTATCCATTGACAGTACGAAATGACTCATGGAAGGTCTACAAACTCGGTCAATTCAGAGGCTTTACACGATTTCAGCAAATCCATCCCTTTTTTAGCCTCCATGACGAAAATACCGTTCGTCCGCCCTCAAACGCACCTTGGTTCTATCAAATTCAACATATCTCAGACCTTATTCGAAATGCTTGTCAAGCTGCCTACTTACCTTCCTCAGATATCACTATTAACAAAGCTATGGTGGCCTGTGAAGGCCGTTCAAAGCATACTATCAAAATAAAAGGCAAACCTATTGATACAGGCTACAAGATATAGTGTATTAGCGATCATAGCTATATCTGGAGCTGGCTATTTTATTCTCGAATAGACGGCATGAAGACGTTCACGAAAAGTCAACAAACGCGCTGGCCACAAAACAGCATGGATATTAAGGGCGAAGCTATTAAAACGAGTACTCTTTTAGCGCCTATCCATGCCCTTGTTTTACGCCTTCCGAGTCAACTACCAAAAGAGCTACAATTCTGTATCTATCTTGACAATCTCTTTCTTAATCTACCAGTAGCTCAGTGTCTATTAGCCATAGGCGTCTACTGTATGGGCACTATTTACTCGAAAAAAGGCTATAGGTATGCCTTCACACCTTCTAAGCTATTTGGATAACAACAATGAGCTATTATGGGATTCTACAACATCAGAAATCGTTGATAAGAATACCCTATGCTTCATTTGGCAAGATAACAAGCCTGTCACAGCTATTTCGACTGCCCACAGCCTCCATCGCCCTGAAGATCGAATTCAACACCTCCGCAGATGTCCTAAAATCTCCTCCGAAAACGCTCGTATCCTTAACCCTATTTTTCAAGGACAACCGTTCAAGAATCTCTTCATTCCAAAGGCTATCAACGATTACAACCATCATATGAAAGGCGTGGATCAAGCTGACGCGTTGCGCGCTAGCTTTACGTGTCATCAAAAGCAGAATTATCGTACTTGGTAGCCATTATTCTACTTTCTCCTCGACATTGCCTACGTCAAAGCCTATTTGCTATGGAAATGGAGTTCTACAGCTAATTCAGAGTATAATTCAAGAGCTCATAATGGGCATCGACGCTTTATGAGCGCTTTGTGCACTCGGTTGTTACATTCGAACGATAAAATCGACAAAGAGGAAGAGTCTTATTCTCTACCCACAGTAGTGCTTCAACGCCACCACGAACACGTACAAAAGAAGTCCTACGGTCGGTGCGAATGGGGAAAGCTTCATCCGCCAGATTGCCTGCGCAAAAGGCTGTTGAACAAGCGTAAATTTGGAACGGATATCACAGAGCAAATTGTCAATGGCGCCAGCGACACCATTTTAGGGGGCTCAAAGACCCATTTTGAGTGCTCTAAATGCCAGATTTAGCTCTGCGTGGAAGGAGGATGCTGGCAACGATACCACCACTCAATTGAAGTCAATTGCTAAAGAATAGAACCTCAATTAGCTCAAATAGGGGGTTTGTTGACAATTTGGACCCCTCTATGTGATCGATAGCGCTAATAGCGGCATTCTACACCCCTGTTTGCCCACGGAGAGGATATCAAAGTGTGCGGCGGCTTCGCCAAAACCTTGCTTACAGCGAAATCAGCGAATCACAGCGCACGAAAGCTACTCCACCAGTTGTCAACTAGTTGGTGGAGTCGCCAGTGACAGCCATTCAACTAACTAGTTGCCAAGACCAGTTGGTAGTGTGAATCACTGTGTCTCTACTGCTATGCTTCTCCTTATACCCATAGGCCATTCCTTTATTTAGTCTCTTTACAGCCTACCCAAACAGTTTCCTCTGATCAAACACAATAGGAAAGAAACAGAGCCCGGCCGAAACTCTTCGTAAAGCCGAGGAGAAGGGTGCTGGAGAAGATACCGGGATTGTGACTGGGGAAAAAGACTTTCAAGAAGAAAGCCCCTGCTAAGGCATAGTCCCTCAATTTATTTCGCCATGCGAGGCCTGGTGTAGCTCATTGATCTGATGTGGTTCGAGGTCAATAGACATTGTTCGCTCTTGAATCTGAAGGCTTGGTGTTGAGTAGGCCCCTGCTTGTCATCAAAACAGAGCATCTCTCGGGTATCAAGTGCTTTGTCTTCCGCCATGTCTGAGCAGAACCCTCTTTGGACTCGAGGGCATAGATAACCGACCAAGGTGCTTCCTAACAGTATTCTGGGATTCAGTAGAATCGCGCCGAGGTTCACGGCTTCCAATAAACCTCACATCTGTCTCATACTGTGTTTAGGGAAACGATAGTCGGCATCGAGTTGAGAAGGAAATGAGCCTTCTGGAAACCATATTTTCATCGGTCCCGACGAGGCCTACGTCTGCAACTTCCTGGTGCCTTCTGATGCATTCAAGCGCAGATCAACGCAGATTTTACTGGCATGCCATCCCTGACCATGGCACTGGGTACTGCTCACCACATCGTCGAGTTCGGTGCTGGGAGTGATGACTTGCTTTCCTCTGCAATGGATCGAGTTACTTGATTGATTCTAGAGTGGATGATAGAAGAAGAAGCTGCTGAGCAGCAGCAAGAGCTAATCTAAGAGCTAATCCGCCAAGCAGGCTAAGGGATCCCACGTGACATCCTCGGTCCCGAACGCGTGTCAACTGTTCAAAGGCATAAGAATACCCTATCAGCTTGTTCTCGGTGCAGGGAAGTCCGATGAAGCTCAAGCCGAACCTGCGAATTCCTTGTCAGTCAAAAACCGCCTTTCACATAGTCATAACAGGTTGCATACGGTGTATTCTCGTGTCGTAGCAGGAGGTTATGCCGTCCATTCCACACGGACGGAGTACCTTCTGGGTAGTAGCCCCACGGAACGTTGATCACGGGGCAGCATGCGGCGGCGGCCACAGTCGCGCTGACGTTTGAGGGGACGATCAATGCGTCAAGCTGATATTTCAGGATTGCACCCTCAATGCATCCTTCCAACGCCCATTTATGGACTTGCTTAAACGCAGCTTCGACAGAAGGATCGTCCTCCGGAAGTGCATCGCGTACTGCGAGAAGTCCATCGATATTTCGCGAAGGGTATTCTTCCGCCGGGCATGCCTTGGTGAATTCGACAAGATCAGCCATTGTGTGGATATCCTGGGGGTTCTTGACCAGCTTCGTCGCATAGTCTTCGAATTGAGCTTTCCAGTCCGCATTGTTGTAGATCACTTTTAGGTGCGGTGACTCCTCAAAGAACGTCGCATGATCTGGATATTCGGCTGGGTCAACAATGATCGCACCTGCGTGAGTCATGATTGGGATAGTTTCCTCAAGAGCAGCTAGCTCGACAGTATCGGTCTTGTTCCCATCATTGTTTCTGAACGCATTTCTGGGGATACCAATGCGTGCACGTAGCAAAGCCGACCTTCTGCAGAAACTGCGATAATCGGGAATCTCGTCGAAAGGTATCTGCTCGGAAGCTCTATCATTAGGACACGCTTCAGCCATAACACTGAGGAGGGCAGCTGCATCCTCAACGGTCTGTGCCAGCACACCCACAGAGCCGGTTCGTTTCGGCAGGATAACTAGATCTCTTGAGACCAGGCCCGGTGTTGGTTTGATACCTACAACTGCGCTCCTTCCTGCCGGGCAAATGATACTCCCGTCAGTCTCGATTGTAACCCGTTAGCATCTAACATCAGTCCCTGAGCCACGTGGTCTGCCTCACCTCATTACCTAAGGCTGCTAGCGCTAGTCCGAGGCTGGTGGCGACGGCCGACCCGCTGCTACTCCCTGAAGGATCTTGCTTCACATGGTAGACTCCGTACGTCTGACCTCCCACCCCACTCCAACCATTTGATGACAGTGACTTGTAAGAATTGTTGGCGTCTGCCGATCGGGCATTGCCCCATTGAGACAGATTGGTTGTGCCAAGGATAATGGCTCCTCCTCTGCGAAGTCTATGGACACAGAAGCGTCGCGGCGGACGGTAGCCCCGGACAAAGCGTATGACCCAGCCGTGTTCTCCATGTCAATGGTCGCAATGGTGTCTTTGATGAGGATTGGTATACCATGTCAAGGTCTTTGGAGGTGTCAGCCAGGTAATTGTTGTCGACACTTGTCATAATAGACAGTGATGTTGGTGAACTTACCCCCGACTGCAGTTGTTCTGCCTCTCTTCGTCGAGGGAGCGAGCAGTCTCCACTGCATGGCTATTCACCTCGATAACAGCGTGCACCCTGTCGTTGACTTCTTCAATTCGCTTTAAGTAAGTCTGAACTAGGTGTTCGGCAGTAAAGTTGCCTGCATTCATTCCATTTTGAAGTTCGCTCAGGGTGGTCTGAGACAGGCGCGGCAGGCTGACAATTTGCATCTTGATGTGCTTGCTACAAGACTGGCTGGAATTGTGTCCGCAAGGAAACTAGAGTGGTGTGATAAGGATGGTTGTCAAGTCACTGTGTTAGAAAGACAGCATGGTGCACGCAAGGCTACAAAGGGTGCAAGCCACTGGTCTCGCCAAGCCTCAGACGTGAAGGAGGCCACAGACTGCATGGAGGCAGCAGTGAGGCTGACGTCAGGTCAAGCAAGGGTCGCGCCTTCCCGACAAAAAGGGGCGCTGCTTTTATCCACGCCTGCCACGAACCACACTCCCGTTGCACAGTAGATGATAGATGATAGATGATAGATGATAGATGATAGATGATCGATGATCTATATATAAGGCAGACTAAGACTAAATTAGCAGCGTAAATTCAAGGCAGAACGCTCGGTAAAGACGCATTCACTATAGGCAGCAAGGCAGACTTGCTGGCAACGGCTTGTAAGGCATTTTCTTGCTTGGATATATCAGGTGCAAGACTCGACTACCGTACGTACCTCTGCCACAAGAAAAGGGACATCTTATTATTATCCTCCTTCTTCTTCACTATAGAACTGTGCCTAGGTGCACCTATAGCAATTTCTAGTGGACCCTAGCCCATCTGTATCTATCCACTATAAGCCAGGTCCGCACTAAGGCCAGGGTGAGATTTTTTGCACTTATGCGGTGTTTGTAAGATAGGCAGTATTAAGAGCTTGTCACAAACCTGGCTGTTATAGGGGATGTTCGTTTCGCTGAAACCTACGACAAAGGTCTCCTCAGGTTAATAGAAGGCTGAAGTAAACGCTAAGGGAAACCATCGTGCGCAATTATACGCGGCATAAAACGGTAAAATAGCAGGTGACCTGCCGTCAGAGGTTTATCAAGGCGTAGATGATGGGCTGTGCCAACATATAATGTGGCAGGTGGAATCGAATATATTGATGGGAGGTTTAAGGATTAGAAGGGGTAATAGGGCGGCACAGGCAGAAGCAAGACAGATTATGAAGGAGCTGGTAGAGAATGGGGGCCTTAACATGAAGGGCAGGGTTAGGCTGTGCCGTGTAAAGCATGAACGGGAGCGCCAGCGTGACGGAGTAGATGGGAAAGAGCCAGAGGGACAGAGGGGAGCGACGTCAAAAGCAGCGAGCCGCCAAGGCTTCCGACCATCCCCGAAGGGGCAGGCCGCCTAAACCTAAGGCGAAAGTCTGGGCAACGGCTTTACTAAAGAAATCCACTTCCGCTCTCCCTCCTTGCCCTTTACCCTCATTCTATTCCTTACTGTCGCAGTCACCTTCTATGTAGGAACTACCTGCAATGACATTGAGACGAAGGCCTTCGCCTGTGACCTGGAGTTTGTGCGCATCTATATGCTATGTATTCCTTCTAGATCCAATTCAATGCATCTCCACCAGTGAATCTCGTCCTCAATATCCGTTATCCGAAGCAGCAATCAGATCTCGGGCAACTAAGTCCTCTGTGCGGCTGGAAACTCTGCGCTCATAAACGCTTGCTATAGTCATTCACATGGCTCTTAGTAGTCCGGCTTCCAACGGACGCTGTCCCTGAGTTTTATCTTCCAGGGTTTCCTGAGTCCTTAGCGGAGGTGCTGCTGCATCACTTCGTGGCAAACAAAAGTAGAAGAGCTTAAGAGGAGGTATGGGCCTCCTTCCGTCTTCTTTCTTCACATCGGTATATCTCTCTCGTTATTCATCGTGATCCGTCTTGATCAGAGTGTCGGCCTGACAGTCGACTGTAATCTGTTTTCGACACAATACCCAACCTCAATTGAACGCGCTATCTCCTTATCAACAGATGTCTCTTTGGGGTTCGTAACTTTCAAGGTCCGGACCCGGGGTTCTGACGACACATCACTACCTTGGGTGGAAGAGGTCTCTGTTGATCGTAACTTCTCTGTTAATAAGCTGTTCTTGGGTCTTTCTGCATGCCATATGCTCCCAGTTGGCTACTGATAATGGTATCGATTCGTTGGACTTCTTCCTTGGACCAGAACCAATCTATGCTGCTTGTGGTGCTGACATTGAAAGACCTGAAGTGATGCTCCCGAGGGGTTTATTTCACGATGAGGATGACTATCTTTTCCTTCTGCCTTGTGGTTTTGCCCATAGTCGCTTTACTGAAAGAAGCTCGTGCTGGAAAAGCTTGGGGATTTTTTTTCTCTTCAAGTGAAGAGTCACCCAACGCCTTTCCGCATGCATGATTTGAATGGCATATCAGGATTTCTGGGCTTCTTTGCTCTGGCACCGGTTAGTTAAATGTCTGCTTGCACTGTCAGAGGGCATTCTCAACAAGGGCCAGGGATTACAACAATGCACAGGGAGAACAAACCCATCCAGACCTAGCTGTGTTGGATTCTTATGCAGGATCTTCACTGCCCTGGTCCTAGGTAATCGGCTTTCTCATCAGCTTAGAAATTGTTCGACTGCGGTATTACGTGAAAATTGCAGCAGACCTTCCACCACCGCTGCCAAGAAATTCCCCTTATGGCATCTGGGCTTGTGTTTGGGCGCAATGTGTTCGCACCAGCCAGGTTAACATAACAAGTAGCCACCTCACACCGTTTGTGACCGTTTGTGATGCCAGCATCTGCTCTTTTCAACATCTACCTACAACTTCCACAGATCCGCTTCACTCTGACATCAGCATCCTTGATCATCCGCATTCATTCGTAATAAAAAGACAACCTTCAGAAGATGATGAATTCCAACCGCACTCACTCGCGACTGAGGGTACCCGGTCCACGCTGTGTCCGCTGCATAAGAGCAAAGAAAGGTCCTTGCATAGGTGGGAAACCGCAATGTGACAGCTGTAGAGTAAAGGGTGTGCCATGTCGCTGGATCGATCAGCCGCAGGAAGAAGGGAACGATACTGACAACGAGGTGACCAATATTAAACAAAGGTAAAGCCCAACATCCCTTGGGCGGCTATATGAAGGCCTTCACAGCATACTGACAAGTCGAAACAGGCGAAAACGTTCCCGTCCATCCCAAACCATACCGTCAACCACCACATCCTCATCCCAAACCCAAGCAGATGAAGATGAGACTGCCTTCGAAAGCCCTACCAAGAGACAAAAGCCCACCGAAGCCCCCCTGCCAAACCCCAAACGCACAAAACTAGTCCACACCGAAGTCATCCGATACAAGGCCGAGAGGCACACCATCCTCGTTGACGACGACCCAGCCCACGCTCCCCCACACATTGACAGCTACCCTGCCGACGTGCCGGACCGGTACCGGTATCCTGCCCTGGTGACCGCCGACTATGCGCAAGCGACTCCCCTGGTCCGGATCGAGGAGCCTGTGACTTTTCACTTCCCACGTATCTGTGTGGAGACGGAGGAGGTCGCTATTGGGCCTTTGGGCGGTGAGGAGGAGGAATGGAGACGTCTGGCGCCCGGGGTTCATGGGGGCTGGATGGCATGGCCGGGTGGACGCTGGGTATGGGAGGGGGAAGGAGAGTGGAGGTGGGTGGAGTGAGTTGTTTGCATCCTGCTTGGGAGACGGTTGGTCTGCTTTGGTGGCCTCCTTGGCTTCCTGGTTGGGGGTGAATAAAGAACGATAGGGGCTAGTCTGGAGAGAACCGGCATGATTGTTTGTGATATGGAAGGCAGGAACCCTGGACATGCCTCAAATGAGTAAAATCTTAGCTGTCCCCAGCTTCCAGCCCTCCACCGGCAGTAACCCCTTCAATATCAGCCCTCACTCATCGGTTCCTCAGCCACATAGTGCAAATACGCGCCCAACAGCTTCGTGCCCTCAATATAATTCCTGCGGTCCAACTTCTCATTGATCGAATGCGCCGCATCCGTCGAACTGCCCATCGGCAAGAGCAAGACGTTCTTGCCCGTGGCCTGCTCAAACGTGATGGTGACAGGAATGCTGCCCCCTTCCCGTGTCATGTCCGGCTCGACGCCAAAGACCTCCTTGACCGCCTTGGCCGCGGCGCTGAAGTTCCAGTGCCGGGGCGAAGCGACCCACCATTTGCCGTCGTGCTGGAGCGAGACGTCGAGGGTGTTCTTGCTGGCCAGCTTGGCGAACTCGGAGGTCAGGTGTCGGTGGACCAGGTCGGTGACGGTGGCGCTGTCCATGTCGGGCACGGTGCGGATGGAGAACTTGCCCGTCACTTTGGCGGGGATGACGGTTTTGGCGCCGGGGGCGGAGAAGGCCCCCTCGATGCCGTGGATGGAGAGGGACGGGTACCGCCAGCGCGCCATCAGGGTGCGTTCTTTGTCCGGGTAGATCGTGGTTTCGCTGCCGAGCGACTCGTGGAGGTTGGCCATGGTGAAGGAGATGGGGGCGTAGAGTTTCTTTTCTTCTTCTGTGACCGGGGCGACAAGGTCGTTGATCCCTGGGATGAGGATCTGGCCGTCGGTGTTGACGAGAGTGGAGAGTAGGCGGACCAGGTCGGTCATGGGTTCTTGCGCCGTGCCGCCAAAGACGCCGCTGTGCAGGTCTTGACCTGGGCCGGACACGGCGACGGAGTAGTAGTTGCAGCCTCGGAGGCCGTAGGTTAGGCACGGCTTCTCTGTTCCGAGCCAGTAGTTGTCTGATATGCAGACTGCGTCAGCGTCTTTGAAGAATCTTTTCGCCTCGTGGTTGATGAAGTCGTCGAGTCCTTCCGATCCGTACTCTTCCATTCCTTCGAAACAGCAGAGGAGGTTGACGGGAAAGTCTACGCCCGCCTTCTGGTGCGCTTCAATTGCGTTGAGCCAGCCTAACACTGGTCCCTTGTCGTCTGTGCTGCCCCGACCATACATTCGTCCTTTCTCGTCCACGGTCAGCTTGAAAGGATCGGTAGCCCAGCCGTCCTCGATCCCCGCAGGTTGTACATCGTAGTGACCGTACACCAGGATAGTTCGCTTGTTCTCGTCGCTTCCGTATCTAGCAATCACCACAGGTGGGAGTTCGAGGTGTTCTTTGCCAGGCTGCTTGCCGAGGGGTCGTTGCTGGACTTCAGCTCCTAAACTTTCAAGCTCTGACGCCAGGAATTGTCCCATCTTAATGCCGGTCAGTCAACTGAGCCTGTAATCAATCAGGCCGTATAAGTAGTAACACACCCGTACAACATCCTTGCGTCGGTCATCTTCGGCGGATATCGAGGGTATGGCAACAGCTTTCCGTAGCCCTTGAGTAGTTTGACGTTAGCTGGATTGGTTATGGACCTCTCAGGCATGAAACCCACGTTCGATGAAGCTTTCGGAGAGGGTGTCTACCCTGCTTGACTATTAGTATTAAAGATTCCACGAATTCCTGTGAAGCTTACTGCTTGAAGAAAGGCTCAAGATTAGGTGCCATGTCCGGGTCTGAAATATGGCCGTAGTAAGAGCGACGACGTACGGGTGGTGGGGAAGTTGGTGTAAACCTCAACGAGGGTGCTAGCTTCAGGTTGCTTCTTGGATGAGATCCCAAAAACTTACAAAGGGGTCGTAGCGGGGTTGTAGGGCGCATTGGCTAGAGGAGGTGGTGTGGAAGGAGAAATTCCGAGGTCTGAATAATTGATTATGAAATTCTCCAAGTCATTCGAAATGCCCTGAATCAGCGGACGAGGATGTACAATGTTTCTACGGCAGAGCTCATGCACTGTCAGCACCAGATGTTCACAGCCAGCAGCTCCTTTGAGACCTGTGTGGCGTGTCTCGTAATACGTCTCCCTCTAGCAGCTCCACAGCCAAATAGCCGCTATTGGCTGACTTCTCTATATTCGAACCTGCTCTACCCCTACTTCCCGCATTTCTTCGTTGCCAAAATAGAGCCTTTTGTGTAGATATTGAAGCGCGGATGTGTCTATGTCCTATTTGTCTTCATGCATCTCTGCCCCATCTCTCTTTCCTCAGCGCCCGGTCCTCTCGGGCAGTCCTCCGCTTCACTCCCCATCTCGACTTCACTATCTCTGTGACCTGCTTCTGCTGCTCTCTCTTCTCCTTGGCAATGCCCTCTGTCACAAAGGCGACAAAAATGCTGGACGTGTCAAACTTCTTAGCCAGCTTATTAGCACTCCATTCAGTTGGGTCTTTTCTTCGCAAGCGTCGCATCTCCTCCATGTCCTCCTGTGTCAAATGATAACGCTTCTGATAAGTTGGACGAACTGGCGGAGGCAGTTCCGGTGGAGGGGTGGAAGAAGTCGCCGCTAGTCGAGAATTTTTGCCGGCTGCTTCTTCGTAGAGTTGTCGTCTTTTATCAGTCTTTGGTAGAAATATGGTAGGAGTGTGGTACACGTTTGGAGGGCTTGGAGGAGGGTTGTAGATGATGTGGTCGTGTGGCTCGGTTTTGGAAGGGAGGAAAGATGGGTCAGGTTTGATGTTCAATCGAGATCGTGTTCTTCGGTAGGATGATTGGTGTCGACGGCTTATAAGCGCCAGCAGGTTGTTGCAGCTATGGCTCTGCGGCCAGATGACCGAGCGCACAACACAGGGCGCCGAAAAAGTCTTCATCCCCGGCTATCGCTCCTGGTCATCGACGGCTGAGAGGACGCAGCTTGTACTATGGTAGACAACTCAGCGCTGGCTGGGATCCCAGTGCTCAATGATATCGACGAGTGCAAAGAGAGCTGATAGAGATTCAAGAAAACAAAAACCTCGGCCGGATTCTCAGGGAGATGGTTTGCAGAGAGACCGCATGAGCTGGTTATTCAAGTATGGCACAGCAATTGAGAGTCCAGGGACGGAGTCCTCCATGTATCTCTAAGTACTAGTTAGCTTCCAGAGTTTCGGGAGGATCATTTAGGTCAATCTTGGCGTGTATGGTCAGCTGCGTTGGCCGGAAGTAGCTGGCGCGAGGGGCGCCCACTCTCCAAACGACTTTTGCGTTGAGTACTGTACTGGCACCAGCAGAAGCAGGGAAAACGAACGTGCAGGTACCGCTATGTTTTCCTCTGCAATGCATGTCACCGTCACATAGACCACCCCTTCATCTTGAGAACTTTTCCATTGCTCGACTCGGTCTGCTCTTGCATATCTAGTCTTCTCATTCTGTATCGCCTTTACAGCTTCTCTCATACCTCGGTAGTGATCTTTGTCAATCCCACCTCCACCACGTATTCTGTGTTCTGCGACTACTTCTTCAGAGTATTTTCCTGCCTACTTTGGACCAAGTCACCAGTGGTCCACCTTGGCTCTGCAGGGTCTAGGACTCCTTGTCCAACGCAAGAACTCGATCGTTGGTCATCCCAATCACAAGTACGAAAGCCATCCTTTCGACTGCCAATGCTGCCGCACAGATAATTCACTCTCTGCTTTGAGTCCGCTGAACAACACAACCACAGCTGGAAGTGAAAATGTCAATGGGTTCAACTAAAGCGGCTACGCAGCCGAATGATACCGAGTCTCGAGGTTCAATGGCTCCGCTACTACCAGGATCATTTCCTCAAGGAACGGAATCTTCCCAGTCGTCATCCTACGAGCCAGAAACCACACAACTTCCAGAGTCAGCGACCGATCCTACGGCTGACAGCGGAAAGCCATCCAAACGACCTTTCTGGAAATTGGGCAAGAAAACAGACGAGGACAAGGCCAAGGAGAAAGGAAAGACTTCCAGTCTGTCAAAGTCTACTGCCACCCCCCACATAGCCCCGGTTGGCGTTTTGAGGTCTGCTTCACCATTGCGCTCGCCCGAACCAAGTCGCGGTTCGGTATCGTCACAGCGTGGTCAGCCCTACGGCTCGCCTGGATCCCCTGCACATGCTGTCTACTCGTCATCTCCAAGACTACATTCACCTGCCTCCTCCCAGATCTTTGAGAGAAACGTCCAGGAAGACGTCGTGCCACCTCAGGCGTCTCCGCAGATTCCGTCTCATATCATCACCGAGAATCACATTCCTCCTGCATTGGACGCATCGTCGGCTGCTATCACAAATGAGCGTCTCGATCCGGACTCAGTGGAGATTGTGACCCATGCAATGCATCTGCCTGCCGTTATCCCTGTCGGACCGTCTCTCGAGGCTTCATTAACATCCTTTGGTGAAGATCATGGCCTTCACCGGCCTGAAACCGCCGGCGATGACACGGCCTCGAACTATGGCACACTGGATAACGCCGATGTTCGCCGTCTCAGCTTCATCTCCTTTGCAGATGTTGTCCATGCTGAGCATGCTGAACATGCAGAGCCGGGCGCCGTTGATCACCACACGGGCCGAAATTCTGTCCATCTCGGCAACCCCTCTGGCATTGTTCCAACGCTAGCGGCTCCACCCAGATCTCCTTCGCCTGTCCACTCACCTCTTTCTTCGCCGGGACATGGCACATCCCCGCCTAGCAGCGTGTCACCGTCCTTCAAAGGATTGGATACTTCACCTGCAAAGGGACATCGAGGCTCAGGAAGTTCCATGCCATCATCAGCGCAAAGTCCACTGTTGAGTGGAGCGGGAGAATTGAATATTGAGACGATGAGGCAGGCGCTAAGGAAGACAGGCAGCGGCGATTTAAGTGGAATAAGAAGTCAGCCATTGAGTGCAGTGGGGAACGACGATGGAACGTTTGCGGATCGACCGTTCAAGTGATACTCGATACCTGGAGTTGGTGCATTAGGAGATTCATATACGTTTTGGCGTTTGTACAGAATGTCCTGCTCCAGGGCTATAGTTTGGGACACGCTCTGACCAATTTGCGCTCCGTTCAGCATGTATCAGTCTGAATGCTTTTGAATATGCTTTGGTACATCCGCCTAGGCGTTGTAGTCGTCTCGGAGCTGTCTGGTCCCCGCGGTCATCGCTCAGATAGGGAAGGCGTCATGCCTTCTAATTGTGGCTATAAACTGACTTTCCTGACCATCACCATATGTGGTCCCTTTTCAAGTGTGGTATATAAACCTTCATCAGCCAGGCTAATGGTTGAGGAGTACACTGTAAATAGGATGTGCGCTACAGCGTGCGTAGACTTCTCCCTCCTCCGAACTCATGGAACGAATACGTTTCATGGTGGCTGCATTGAAGCTGAGTGAGGAACAAGCAATCCGACAATCCTCTCAACTCATGGTCCAAGGGTAAGATATTCGGCAATTGCCGATGCAGCAAAGGAGAAGCTTGGCAAGGGACAGCCTGGCAAATTCCAGAAAGTCGAGGAGAGACACATCGATCATCCGACTCGATACTGCGTAATAGACTCCTCTTGATGTACGGAGTAGTCTTTAGACTTCTTTCACCCAGAAACGCGGTGACCGACTCCTCAGCCTTGATGCTTCCGCTGCATGCTCCGTCAGAATGATCATCCGACTTCACTCCCTTGCGCTTCTGGCGACCCTTCTCGCCCTTCCTTTCGGCACCTTTTGTGCCGCAGATGATGCCCTGATCTCACCTGATGCCCCGGTATCGTCTATCATTGCTACAGCGAAGTCGTTCTTGGCCAAAGGGTCCCACAGCGACGCTCTGACATATTTTGATATTGCCATTACAAAGGACCCCTCGAATTATTTGGCTGTCTTTCAGCGGGGCGTAACGTACCTCTCTATCGGTCGGAATGCGCAAGCAAGCGCGGACTTCGACAAGGTCTTAGAGATCAAGCCCGGTTTCGAGGGCGCATTGCTACAACGGGCCAGAATCAAGGCTAAAAATGGTGATTGGGCGGCAGCAAAGGATGACTATTTAAAGGCTGGGAAAGGCGCAAGTCAAGAGACGTCTGACCTGGAAGAGGCGCAAGGTGCGGCCTTACTGGCTGCTGAGGCGGAAAACAGGCACGACTGGGAAGCTTGCGTCACTCAGGCAAGTGTGGCAATCATGACGGCCAGCACAGCTCTGTCTTTACGCCAGCTACGTGCCAGGTGTCGATTTGAAAAAGGCGAGGTTCAAGAAGGTGTAAACGACCTCAATCATGTACTCCAGCTCAGCCCAGGGTCACTTGAGCCCTATCCTCGCATATCGAGTATGCTCTTTTACAGTCTCGGCGACATGAGCAAAGGTATCGAAAAGGTTAGCGAGTGCCTTCGGTCTGATTCTGATTACGAGCCTTGCAAAAAGCTGCGGAGAAGGGAAAAGCAGCTTTCCAAGACTTTGGGGAAAGTAAGAAGCCTCATGGATTCACGGCAGTTCAACAGTGCTTCTAAGCTTCTCGCGGGTACAGGCGAGGAAGCCGGGGCTCTTGCTGGTATCAAAGAGGATGTAGCACAATTCACGCATTCGTCCTTCATCCATCCCAAAGCACCCAATGGACTTTACGCTACATACGTTGAGCGTGCGTGCGAATGTTTTCGCGAAATGAACTCACCAAGAAGAGCTGCACCATTCTGCGCCGAAGCATTGACGCTCAATCCTACTTCCCTTCACGGCCTCCTTTACCAAGCCCAAAAACAACTGGGAGCGGAAGACTTTGACGCAGCCATGGCAGCTCTAAACACTGCCAAGGAGCACTACCCTGACTCACAGGTTGTCCAACAAAAGCTGCAGGAAGCTCAAGCTTTGCTGAAGCGCTCAAAGCAAAAGGATTACTACAAAGTCTTAGGCGTCGACCGTGAAGCAGATGATAGGACCATCAAACGCGCCTATCGTAATCTCGTCAAACAACATCATCCAGACAAAGCGGCTGGGCGCGGCTTGACAAAGGAACAGGCGGAGAAGAAGATGGCGCAGATTAACGAAGCGTATGAAGTGCTCAGTGACCCCGAGCTGAAGGCTAAATTCGATCAAGGGGAAGACCCGAACGACCCGATGGCTCAACAAGGGGGACATCCATTCCAGGGAAGTCCGTTTGGTGGTGGCCAACAATTTTTCTTCCAACAGGGTGGTGCATTTAGTGGTAGTGGGCAGCGGCAATTCAAGTTCCAACAAGGACCGGGCGGCGGCGGCTTTCCGTTCGGGTTTCCTGGCTAGTATCTGGTAATTTGGAAGTATAATAGTTTGAGGCGCAAGGACAATAGCTTGACACGGCTTATGCCTGAGCATCGGATAAAGTGGTGCAAGGTTCTTCGATCCAGCTGGGCATTGCAGGCGTTTGCGTGCGGTGCATCCTGAACACCTATTCAGTGGTATAGTACGTAGTAAAAAGGTTTGGAGTTAAGGAGGGCCAATCTAGTTAGCGCTTACATATAACGGAATCTAAAACAGGTCCATCTTCCACGCTGTGATTGCACATTCGTGCTGCGCATGGTTGGCTGATACTCCGTACTGTTCCTGTTCCTAGATTGAATGTGGCTCGTGACACTAGCCGCCTTGTCCGAGTTAGGAAATATTATAATGCAACGGGATCACAGTTTAGCGTGATTCAAGGCGCACAAGCGCGACGACGCGCCTCTTATGCACCCGAGGTTACAGCTTCCACGAAATAGAGCTTGACGCACCGTTCTGATGCTAAAGATATCCATGCAATGGCACCCATCAAGCGACCTTCGGCTACACTGCCTGATGATTCCAGCGACGATGAGTCTGTAGCTTCGAGAACAGGCCAAGCCTCTTCGGTAATCGCCCGTCCTTTATGACATTGTTTTCGCGCCTGACAATGCGCTGACTTTGCAGAAGAAACGTAGACGAACCGACGACGGGAGACCGCATGTGCGTGAAGACGTTTACAGCAGCGAAGAAGAGCGAGACCGGTCGCGTTATTACGATGGCACGCCGGACTCGGACGAAGAGGCTGGCTACGAGCAAAATGCCACGCAGGCGGTACGAGATAAATACCGCGAGGATGCGCAGAATGCACCGATGGACTGTGGGATCCTGGAGAGTGTGCACGTTATCAATTTCATGTGCCACGAGAACTACATGTTCGACCTCGGTCCTCTGATCAACTTCATATGCGGCAAGAATGGAAGTGGGAAGAGTGCAATCCTCACCGCCATTACTTTATGTCTCGGCGGCAAAGCTTCATCTACCAATCGTGGCCAAAGCCTCAAGAGCTTTATCAAGGAAGGCAAAGAGAATGCTAGCATTACGGTCAGAATTAGAAACGAGGGTGATGGAGCTTATTTGCCTGAAGTATACGGTAATACGATTATGGTCGAGCGATACTTCAGTCGATCGGGAACAAGTGGGTTCAAATTGAAATCGCAGCAAAATAAGGTAGTCTCAGTTAGAAAGGCTGAGCTGGACGAGATTTGCGACCATTTTGCTTTGCAAATCGACAATCCTATGAATGTCCTCTCACAGGATTCTGCGCGGCAATTCATTGGAAGCTCAAGTCCAGCGGACAAGTACAGATTCTTCGTCAAAGGAGTCCAGTTGGAGCAACTCGATCAGGACTACAGAATCGTTGAAGAGAATCTGGACAACAGCGAGAGCAAGTTGGGTCAGAAGCAAGACGATGTCAAAATCCTCAAAACAAAGATGGAGAAAGCCAAGCAACGACTCGCAATGTCTGACAGACACGAAGGTATCCGGGACAGACAACGCAACTTCCGTCGACAGCTTGCTTGGTCGCAGGTAGAAGAGCTGGAACGAATGGCAGAGAATTATGAGGTCGCCATTCAGGACGCAAACAGGAAGATCGCTGGCGCGGAAGAGGTAGCCGCTAAGCTCGACCAGGATTACCAAGCCGCGGATCAAGAATCCACCGAGGCGACTGAAGCTTATCATCGTGCAGAAGAAGAAGTACGCAAAATTGAGGATGAAAAGAAAGAAGCCAAAGCTGCGCAGGATGAGATCATGAAAGGGGTCAGAGATGCTCAGGCTGATCAGAGACAGCTACGAGAGTCTCTCAAAAACAACGAGGCCGTCATCAAGGCGAGACGGAGGGAGATCGAGGAAGAGAAAGAGAGGTTGGCCGAGCTCGATGGTGGTGGGGCTGCTGTTCGGCTTGCCCAGCTTGAGGAGGCTCAAGCAAATGCCGCCGCAGCGCACCGAGCTTATGAAGAGCATCAAGCCCTTCGAGATGGCCTAGAAGCAAGGATTCCTGAGGCACAGCAAGAATGTAGAGAACGAGACCAACCACTTCGAGCCAAAAGGGACGATATAGAAAGACGCCAGAGGGACATCGAAAATCTGTCGCGAGATCGCAATCAACAGGACGGCGCGTTTCATGTAAAAATGCCAGCCTTGATACGAGCAATTCAGAACGAACGGTCATTTGCTCAACCGCCGGTTGGCCCCGTAGGTAAATACGTTCGACTTCTCAAACCTGAATGGTCGTCCATTATCGAGAAATCCTTTGGACAAACACTGAGCAGCTTCATCGTCACCAGCAAGAATGACATGAATATTCTGAATCGAGTTATGAATCAAGTCAAGTGCACCTGTCCTATCATCATTGGCAACAACTACGCCCTCGACACCACACCCAATGAGCCTGACCAGCAGTTCATGACTGTCCTCCGTATTCTTGGAATCGACCACGATCTCGTCCGAAAACAGCTCGTCATACAGCATGGTATCGAGCAAACCATCTTGATTGCTGACATGGAAGAAGCATCGGAAGTACTGTACGGGAGGGACCGCCCCCGTAACGTCAAAAGATGCTACACTTTCGATCCCAACACAAAGCGGAGAGGTCTACACTTGACGTACACGCGGAGTGGTGAGGCTAGTCAAGATCCTATTGCTGAGTGGAATGGTGCGCCCCGCATGCGAACTGACATCGAAGCTCAAGTTCGGCTTCGTGAAGAGGCGCTTCAACAATCCAGACAGCAGCTGAACCAACTCGAGAACGCGCTACGGTCTGCGCGAGATGTGCTGGAAAAAGCCAAGCAGGCGGTGACAAGACATAAGAGGAGAGAGGCAGAACTGAAAGTGAGCTATCAGCAAGCGGATGACGAAGTGGAGAGGCTCCAGGACGCCATCAATCAAGACAGTGTCGAAGGTGGAAAGCTGGATGTGCTCAAACAAGCCCTGACCGAGGCTGAGGAAGCAAAGGCGCTGGATGAGGGATCATTTCAGGATGCTGTGGTCGCTCTCGACGAGAAGAAAAGGCAGTTGAGCGCAGCGAAAGCTGAGTTGACGCGATTAGACCAGGAAATTGCAGTCTTACAAACCGAGAGCAAGAAAAAGGAAGCAGAAGCCCAGAGACTATCAAAAAGACGGGCGACACTACTTGGTGATAAGAATGCGGCTATTGTCCGCATTGACGATGGAAAACAGGATCGAGCAAGCATACAGCGAGAATCCGAGCAGCATCAGATCAAGCTAGCCGACTTCATTGAGAACGCTACCAAAGTCTCCCCACGCATCAACGTTGACGAGGGTGAGACGTATCAGAGTCTCAAGTTGAAGTATGAGAAGTTGCAGAGAGACTTGCAGAGATATGACAATCAGTTGAGATCAACGCGGGAGCAGATAGCCTTGGAGGCTGCTCAGACCGAAGAAGCCTACAGAAATGGTCTTCAGCAGATGGAGGACCTTGAGAGGCTGGGTCAAGCACTGAAGAATGCACTCATCACACGCCGAGATCGCTGGGCCAAATTCCGGAGCTTCATCTCTGCTCGCGCAAAGGCGCAATTCACCTATTTGCTCAGCGAAAGAAGCTTTCGTGGCAAGCTCTACGCCGACCACAAGCACAAATTGCTTGATATTCAGGTCGAACCCGATATCACTAAGAGAGACGGATCTGGTCGTGGTGCGAAGACACTATCCGGTGGCGAAAAGTCCTTTTCGCAGATATGCCTGTTGTTATCGATATGGGAAGCAATGGGGTCGCCCATTAGATGCCTGGACGAATTTGATGTCTACATGGACTCGGTCAATCGGAAGATGAGTATTGACTTGCTAATTTCTGCTGCGCGGCAGAGCAAGGGTCGACAGTTTATTCTCATCACTCCTGGGTCAAAATCTGAAATCAAGCTGGATTCCGATATTCACGCCAAAGAGTAAGTCTAACGGTCGGTCTCTCATGTCCATTCAGCTAACAGATTGCTAGACTTGCCCCTCCGGAGAGAGGCCAAGCAACAATCTCCTTTGATAGGGTTTGATGGGATCATTGTTTTTATTAGCGAGGCGTTGGTGCACTTCTGCCAGGCAGCTCCATGTGATTTTCTCTGACCGTGATACCAGAGTACAGCTTGATGGGCATCACATGTTGATATGTTGCTCAGTAAACACAAGGTCGACATACATGTGGAGATAGACGTTATACCCTACAACAATGTAACAATCTGCATCACCATAACGGGACACAGGTCATGAATTCAACAAGTATTATTAGTATGGTGCTAGGAGCAGCTAGTTCTTATCACAGGAACAGAGTGTTATGATTTGTCGTTGTAAAGCTTGTGCAGTGTGCATCCATTCTGATGAGTCAAATCATTACATCTAACTTCTTTTGCACATAGCTGTTCTGTACAGATCAGGGCTTACAAGTAAAGATACTAGCGCGGAGCTAACAATACTTCAGCCGCCCTTAGTAGGTGAAGCACTAAATAGATCCAGCTGATTGGAGCGCACCACCACTGGCAAGGCACAACTTCAAACCTGACCCAGAACAACGTTTTTGCACCCTCCACAACTTCCTTCTCCCAGTGCCTCGAACCATACAACCCACGATACAAACTTAGAGTTCCACGCCACACTATCTCCCACACCAAATCAAGCTGCTACCAGCACAAACGCACCCTTCGCTTCCCAATACTTCATCCAGCTTGGCAACCTGATCACGTCCTTAACGTGCTCTTCCCGGTCCAGGTGCCTGCTCAGACCCGCTTCACCTGCAAACCACACGACCTTAACGCCTCCTACACATATTGACCCGCCATCACGCCTGATTGACCATTGACGCAGACCACCAGATAATTGACTACTACCGAAGACGCTTTCCCCACTGCCCGCAGCTACCTCTGGTGAAAGTCCAATACGAGACCACCACTACTCTCTGCTCCCTCAATACACATCTTTTTGAACATCATGGGCGACAACCTAACCGAGCAGCTGCGCAAGGCTACTATCAAGTAATAAGTGGCAGGTACCATTTTCACCGTGCCTTGGCTGATCGAGTATTCAGGGATGATAGCACAGATGGTGACTGGAAGAGCAAGCTTCAAGCACCAGTCAAAGATTCAAGAGTACAAACTGAAGTAGGCTCTAACTTTATCGTCGGAAGCACATCTCGCTGACGCCCTGCAGGACGTTACAGCCACGAAGGGGCTCGACTTCGAAGACTTTTACATAAAGCGGGAACTTATGATGGGCATATTTGAGGCTGGATTTGAGAAACCCTCACCCATCCAAGAAGAGACCATTCCTGTCGCGCTCACTGGCCGAGATATCCTTGCCCGAGCGAAGAATGGTACAGGCAAGACTGCGGCGTTTGTCATTCCTACACTAGAACGAATCAACCCCAAAAACTCCAAAACACAAGCTCTCATTCTAGTGCCAACACGCGAGCTTGCCCTCCAAACCTCACAAGTATGCAGAACCCTGGGGAAGCACCTGGGCATCAACGTCATGGTCACAACAGGCGGAACGGGGCTCAAAGACGACATTATCCGCCTGGGGGATACGGTGCACGTCATCGTCGGCACGCCTGGCAGAGTGCTCGACTTGGCCAGCAAAGGCGTTGCAGATTTGTCAGAATGTCCCATTTTTGTCATGGACGAAGCCGACAAACTGTTATCACCCGAATTCACCGTTGTCATCGAGCAGATTCTCGCCTTCCACCCGAAGGATCGCCAGGTCATGCTCTTCAGCGCCACTTTTCCCATGATTGTCAAAGACTTCAAAGACAAGAACATGCAGAATCCGTACGAGATCAACCTCATGGACGAACTTACCCTGCGAGGAATTACTCAATACTATGCTTTTGTGGAGGAGAAGCAAAAGGTTCATTGTCTCAATACTCTCTTTCAGAAGCTTCAAATCAATCAGTCGATCATCTTCTGCAACTCCACCAATCGTGTCGAACTTCTGGCCAAAAAAATCACCGAACTAGGCTTCTCCTGCTTCTACTCTCATGCGAAGATGGCTCAGCACAACCGCAACAAGGTTTTCCATGACTTCCGTAATGGAGTCTCTCGAAATCTTGTCTGTTCGGATCTTCTTACTCGAGGAATCGACATTCAAGCTGTTAATGTTGTCATCAATTTTGATTTCCCCAAGAATGCAGAGACATATCTCCATCGCATTGGCCGTTCAGGTCGTTTTGGACATCTTGGTCTCGCAATCAATTTGATCAACTGGGATGACCGATTCAACCTATACAAGATCGAGAAGGAGCTGGGCACAGAAATTCAACCCATCCCGCGCTCTATCGACAAGTCTCTCTACGTGTACGATGCTCCGGAAAATATACCTCGTCCACCATCCAATGCACCAAAACCAAATACATCCGACCAGGACAGTCCTAGCACCAACGGACAGGTCAATCGCCGATCACAAGGATATCAAGCCAATGGACAACAGTACGGATCTCGAGGTGGCTACGGACAGCAACAGCGAGGAGGATATCGAGGACGGGGACAGGGCCAGCGTCGGGCACCACCGCCAGACAGTGCTTGGCCCAATGGTCAAGCGTCTGCGACACAAGCATGATGCACGCCTGTTGCTGCTCTGTTTTTTGTTTTGGGATAATTGTTTCTATGGCCCTGTTCCTTTGCACCACCACTACACCTCTTTTTCACATTACGACCACAAATTCAGCCTATTTCGATGCTCTAATGCCACACGTGGCGATCGGGTCGCTGGGGACGGATACCATGATTACGCGCTGGATTTGTACAACAATCCTCGGATTGATTTTACATTGCTATGAGCCATATGGGATGTATGGCGCACAAACATTTCTTCTCACCTTCTTTGCAGGGGCCAATTTCGACAGCATTGCTTGGTGTATGTGGCGGTAGGGAAGGATGGTCCCCCAGGCTGGCGAGTCGGCGTACTGATTGGCGTTGTATTCCCCGCTCTGACACTGAAGCCAAAACTGCTCCATCGAGCATATTTTGTTCTCTTTCTCAACATCTTATCAACCACAACCGACGTCTCAATTCCTTCTCCCCATCCAGACCCGTCACAAGTCTGTACCAAGTCAATGATTATCGTCTTGCACTCTGCGAAGCAAGACTGTCAACGTTGGACAATTCCTCTGTCGGTTGAGCTTCTGCTGGCTGCCGCCTGATCCAGCTTATGTACATTCGCAATCGACTGCGAGCAGAGGGAACAGAAAAAAACCAGAAAAAAGAGGAGAGGCAGAGATCTGTACTACATATGTAGTGCTTTGAAACGTATGTAGCTACTGGTCTGGCAATCAACTATTTACCTCTCTGAATCTCGTCCTCGATGCTGCTCAATGTTTACCTGTGGCTGCAATTCTAGATATATGTAGTAGAGATATAATGATATGAAGGAACGGTATGATGTAGTGCTGTAGCTTCTGCTTGGTGATTGAAGAGGAGTCAAATCTGCTCTGCACTCACCTCAACGCTCACCTAGGGTAATCCATCAAATTAAATAAAGCAAATCAGGGCCTCGATTTGCTTTAATTGTTTAATCAAAACCGTGATTTGCTTTGTTTAACTGATTTGTCAAATCAAGTCAAATCTCAAATCTCAAATCTCCGTAAGCAATATATTTCTAACTAGTAGGGTAAACTTGAATTCTCATCCAGATCGAGTGTCCGCCAAGACTATTATTCTCCTGTCGAAAAATATTCTTGAGCATTTCAAAATAAGAGACTTTTCTGTCAAGACTTCAGCTTGACTAGGTTACTAGTAACCTGTTAATTCCACGGAGGCCGATTTGCTTTGACGAAAGCACCGGTGTGATTTGATTTGTTTGATTAATTTGATTTGATGGACACACTGCGCTCACCCCTCCACTGCTGCGTTTAACCCACCGCTCAACGCTCCCGGGTGATTCGTGGGTGATTGCTGCATGATCTTGCCTCATGACGGCTTCTCGCCAACAGTCTCTAATATGGCCGTTCAACGCCACCCTATTCAGGTAAGAGGAGGAGGAAATTTCCATGTCGGATCTTCTTCTATTTCTTCCCCTTCTCTTCTCTTTCAAATATTTCTCTCTTCTCTCTCTCTCTTTCTTTCTGTCTGATCATATAACTAAAGTACTACATATAGTAATCTATAGATCAGAGTTCTATCTTCTGATAACCCAAGTGACGGGTCATTATGGATTCGCTCAACCTGCGCTACGCAGGCGCAGGCCTTACGCATGCTACACGCACCCATATTTTATAGACCTGCCTAATATTCTTGACCCAAAGATCCTCTACTGCCCGCTTGATTGAACGCTCTTGATATAGAGAGACAGAAGCATCGCCGCTTTCTTAACGAGAAGGAAACGGGCAGAACGAGGGTTGGGAGAGATGACCAACTAATAGGCACTTTAAAAGAGACACAATCGTCACTAATATAGGCCCGGCCCACTATTGTTGAAAATTGTAAAACTTTACATACCTCTCAAACGTACGAAATTTTTGTCATTGGATGTGCCCTGCCGCCTGCTGGCTCAGCACCCACTCTTTTATTAAATCCTTTTTTTTAGGCCTCAGTCCATCAGGCAGCTGTTGCAGCTTAGTCGCTAACCAAGTCAGTATACGTCCAGCACGACTGAGGTGTTACAAAATATGCCTTGGGATTTCATATTTGCAGAGTCAGATTCTCGAGGTCTGACACTCTTACTTAATATAATCTCCACCCATCTCAGTATAATAGCAATTTCGGGAAATCAGTGGAGTACAACCCTTCTGCCCTCTCTGCAAGAACTGCAAATCAAGGGGAAAAAAACCATTTCCCTACCCCTAAGTTCGGGAAGGACTATATGACTTCCAGCGAGACTTAGATAGCTATTTCATCATGTAAATAAGCTCTACAAAAGCCATTCAGTCCTCATTCCAAGCATTTGTACACGATTGTCAAGGCTCAACGTTGCTAGATGAATTTCAATTTTTACCTTTTTGTTTATCCAAGCACCTCTCTTTTCCTCCTATAGCGCGGTTCAGGTAATAATTGAAAAACATAGACATAATGAGCCCGAGCTGAGCCTGTAAGGTACTAGTTTCTTGATAAGATTATGTGATTTTTGGCTTTTGGAAGGGGGCGGAGGGAGGAGATCTAAATCCCGATTTCCTTTCTTGCCAGAGGATGACACCGATGGAGCGTGTTATATATGGAAACCTGATGGAGCCCCAGAATTTATAGATAAGAGTGATAATGCAGGCAATGAGGAAGACCGTGTTACGTCAAGACAAATATCTTGGTAGAAGGATTATCAGACTAGCGCTTGATGGCAATAGAAAACACACCGTTTTCAACCCTAGAGGGTCCCATATCTTAGGGAGTTCATTCAGTCAATCTCATATACTTGACGAGATCCGAGTTTTCAAGCTCACATTTGAGCACTTTGCAAAACGGACATACATACACGAATCTCTTTCTTAGTCCTCTCGACATCCTCCAAATGTACCCATTAAATGCCCACGACTGCCGCCTGGTGACCAGTCAAGGCGCTTCGAGCCCAGGATTTTGGCATCTCAGTGTCTCGTGCTCGTTTCCGCCTAGGGAGCTCGCTCATTGACATCGTCTTCCCCACTCCTTCTCCTTGCCAATTATATGGCTGGCGCAGGAACGTATTGATCATGAGCGCTCCGCTGAGGCTGCTGGCCCTGCTGCACTCCATCATTTCGTTCCATACGATTTGACACGTCTTCGCTTCCTCGCGTCAACCACTGGAACATTGCTCCTTTGACGCCACTCCAACGCAGTATTCTCTTCCACTGTGAGTCGGCATGATCGCGCATCTTTCTGCCAAATACATAGCTCATGTCCTCTAGCGAGGCGGTATGATTTGTACTAGGGACAAAGAAGAAGATGAGAATAAATGCTACAGCGTTCAGACCTCTTCTCTGGCATAAGTAGCGATATTCAATTGGAAAGATGATCGCAACTTACGAAAACAAGCCTAAAAGTTTGCCATGTCCCCATCTTATTCCAAATGGAACCGAAAATGCGACGATTCCTGCACCTGTGTGATGATTAGTGCGTGGGCTCGTTCATACGGAGCTTGTGTACTTACCTAGGAAGTTCCGGAAGATTGACCTACCAGATTTCCTACGGGTCAGCGAGCTCTCCAAAGTTCCTTCAAATGGTCAAAAGTAGTGAGAGAATTGATTACCAGGACATTCCTAGCCTCGAATCTGTCAGTGATCCAAAAGTATGAAAGGGTCTTCGGAGAAGTTACTCTCTTCCCTCATTTGGGAATATCTCCGCCTGGACGATGGTCAATATTCTGATCTGATATATACACAGACGCAAAATACTTACGGAATACAGGAACGTTATAGCACCAGCTCCCTATTGAGAATTTTCTGGTCAGCTCAGCTAACTCCCCCAGGATCGGAATAGCGGGGCTACTATACAGACCGGTGAATAGACGCGGTATATACCATCATGAATGAGAATATCGTCGGCAAGCGGGCGTGATTACATTCTGGAATATTAAACATAATAGACGTAAGTAGAAGCGTCACAATGCCGCCTGCGAAAGAAGTAAGTAGAAGAAAGCGTCGGCCGCGGAATTTAGGGGCGTCATCATATTCAGGGAATGCCCCGTTATCATGATTCAAAACGTGGACGGAAGGAGTGCCTGATATTGTATTGACATCATCATTTTGCATGCTTGGTCTTTCCCGAGGGGCCTGGTTGGATCTTGTCGTTTCTTCGCTCCGCTGAACATGTCGCATCTCGATGGATTGGTTTGCGGAAATGCTCAATCCGTGTCTAGATACCAGAAATGAAGCCCCAAGTTAGCTATTTGGAACATTATATGCTTGGAACAAGAGGTGTTTGGTACAATAAAGACCGTTGTACGCATTTAATGACGCGACGCAGACCTCGAAAAGAGGAAGCGCGGCAATGAGCATTACATTTTGCATTCTAACTTACCTACTGTCAAGCTGCCCTATCCTTATAATCCCATCACCGTCCTCGGCTCTAGTGTATCTGGTGAAATCAATCCTCCCATTCCCAGTTCATCATGCGGTAGAAGTCCATGATGACATCTTTCGCTGTAGTCATTGATGATGGACCCGTCGTAACTTTTGCCCCTAGTCTGATAGGAATTTTTCCGAACTTGCCTCGAGACATCCGATCGTCAAACACACAACCTATATACTCGCACTCGACAACCTGCCAACAAAAGGGTGAGACAAAGTGTTCCTTGCCGGGGATGCCAATCCCCACCGGCATGACAAGAATCCCTGGTTCGAAGCTTCTCTCGTCCTGATGTAGGAGGATGCAACGGTCCCAGTTTTGGAGGGCTTGCTTTACGCGCATCTCGACGGCCATGTTAAAGCTGTGGGGTCGGAGTCTCTTCGGATCCTGGGCTGAGAGTAGCCGGTATGGCCATAATGCTGAGGCGGCACCGTCCTTGTCAACACGTACTACGTTGCTGTGGTTCCTCTGTTCGGCCATGGCGGCCTCGCTGTGGAATAAACTTGACGGACACCAGGAAAAACCGCCTGTGTCAGACAAGGTGCTATGACCGTGTGCTAGAAACTTCTTGGGGACTTCTTCGAAGCTTTTAATTATCTTGCGGGTCGTTTCTGCTTGCGAATCACTATAATCATAATTCTCCACGCGGCTGAGGAGCCCTGCAATGGCCATGCGGTCTCGTTGCCAAGAGGTTGTTCGTGTCCTGAGTACGGTCAGCAAATCGGAGAGGCTAGGTTGTTCGCCTTGGACTCGCTGAATCAGTCCGGATGCTATAGAGTGCCCAAGCCGAGAATAATGTGTCGGTTCAGCGAACACATCATCTTGAAGATCCTTAAGCACTTGCTTGCTGTGGTCTTCTGGGTCTCTGAAGATGACTTTCACTCTTTTAGACATCGATAACTCCAACGCTGTCCAGCCGCGCGTAAACCACGGAGAGAGAACGACAGCCAAAGCTGGGGTACCGTCATCTGTCCAGTCAACCCCGAGTAGATACCTATCGTGAATGACTGTATACTTCGCCTTCTCGTAGTTCTTGTGCATGTTACTCATGGCAATTCTTCGTGTCTCTCGTTCGGTAGGAATACACACTGTATCCCACCAAAATCCATTACATTGTAATTGGAGTGCAATTTTGGCGAAATATGAGAACAGGCAAGAGTTGACTTCGCCTGAAACCCTCAATCCAACACCAGTGCCATCTGACCATACGTGGGAGATGGCTATGTAATTTCTTGGAATAGATGAGGCCATAACCACTTTGCTTCTTCGGGGTTGCATTGAATCCATAACTCTGATGGCCAAGAAGATACCTAAACCAATGGCCAGACCATAGTGCCAGTGATACAGCATCGTCATTACTAGATACAAGAGGGAAGTTGTGGTCTCGTATGTTTCCCTTTGCTCAGGCCTGTCGGCGATCATGGTTATAAGAATCATAACGATGGTGATACTGCCTACAGTGGCAATTACGGCACCGCGTCTGCAATCACTGTATAGCTGCGTTTTCTTTATGGCCCATGCAGTTGGCAAGTCTTCGTTTACTGCACGGTCCAACTCTTTCAGAGGAAAAACCACACGATGACAGCTTCTATCTCCGCATTTGTGCAATTGTTCCTTGAGGGTACTATTGCTATCTGTGAATTGGCAGAACTCGGCAGAACACTCGTCATGATGCGCGTGTGCCAGTTGTTCTGGATGTTTTGTCATTTCTGCAATCTCAATGAGGGCAGGGAGATCGTCCTGTGCACGTTCAGCAGTCAATGCTAGATTCCAGAACCGATTTGGGCAAATTCGGAGCTTCTTCGCCGCCATCGATGCTCTTGCGACGGCTGGTAAAGAGACATGCCTCGGGAGGAAATCTTTTTTCCACCAGGATCTCAAATTTGCTCTGTCATCCTTCTCGGCTAGACGGGAGTCCCTGACTTGCATCATCCAATATATGATTTCGCAGACTTGGAATAGCAAGTCTGGCTCGCCGCACATGGCTCCTTTCTTGTGCAGAAGGATTTCATGGAAGCCGTCTGCAGTCAATTCTTCAGGCCAATCAAAGCTACCTCTTTCACAAGCCATCTGGCAAGATACAGCCACAAGCACGTACATACGGAACCTCTGCCATTTATCACAGGGTGGGATAACTCGCTGGAGCCTGTCTCTTGTCTCTCGACACGTCTTGAGCTGGCAAGGCATCAATTGCGCGATGAGGCAGTTGTGTTGTATGAGATCCAGAAACGTGACTTTAGGTTCGGAAAGATATCTTTTACGTACATCAATCCATGAAAAGTAGTCTGCAGAATAAGTAGGGAGCGGGGCGACTACACTTGAACGTTTCATTAGCTTCGCTGTAACCTTGCAAAGTGATGGGCACCTTGCCTTCGTCATTCACTTTCTGCTCGGAACCGAATTCAAAGTCACCCCAGTCCCAATATGGAGGCCCCGCCGTTGATACTTGCTTTCTGAGTCCGGACACATCCAGGTGAACGTTCCAGCACCGACGGGTCTCATCATTTAATGTTTCTGAATCGAGAGGAGTGATGAGGTCCAGATCTGAGTCAAACTGAGGCAAAGGAATGCTTAAGGTGCATCGTTCCTCAAAAGAGGGATAGGGTCCATTGCTCTGCCGCAGCGGCTTCCCGGGCGGTTCTTCTGTGTCCATGCTTGCGGTATGGTAATAGACTTAAGCTCGAGAGAGACATTCACGACTCTCATATTGCTAAACAGAATTCCCATGCAGAAAACTGTGATGCAGATAGTTTGATAGAAAATGAATGATCAAAAAGGTAGAAGTCTGAATCAATTACTCGAGATCTTGGCCAACGCACTGCTTTCATTATTTTTGTCATGCACGTGACTGCGCGCTGGCTTCGTTCACTGTTGTTGCGTTTATCCTTGTAATATGTCCGCGTTCTATTGATTATACGCTCTCTACCCCCCTATGTAGAGACCAACTTGCTATTCTACGCACTCTGCACAGCAGGTTGATATGTATTCTCTGCAGCATCATTCCAGAAGAGAATTGAAAAGTCTGTTGGATACGTGGAATCGTGAGTTGACAAGTTCGATAACTTTTACAGCCTTTATGCCACTACACCATTCACCCTGAGGGACTTCATTCCTCCAAGTAATAGCTAACCCCCTCCCCCCAAAAAAGACTCAAGGTATGCCGAGACATAATTGAGCGCTAAAACGCCCCATCGAGAGTGGCACGATGCCTAATTCGTGGCCGACATTTGTGTGTGAACCTCTGGGCGAAAAGTCGGCCACGATTTATTGGACCCAGCCTCGGTAGAAGCCCATGGGCGCTAGAAAGAGATTTGTCATAGGCAACAAGCAACACGACATGCGCTGCTATTCAACTGTGCCAAATGATTAATTTCGCTCCTTTTCCCCCTTCCTATCTACGCTGGCAAACCAGCAGCTATTTATACCCGTTCAAGAGTGGTTACAGGGATGTCCGTACGCCCGAGCAGTAGGAAGGTGTCGAGGGCAGGGCGTTAGCAGTTAGAAGGGCAACAGTACTTCATAGCGTAGGGCGCATGGCGCAGGGCGCTCACCGCCCTGCGGCCACCTGAGACTGTTCGACAACTGCCTTTCTCGACACCTCAGCCTTGCAGGCGACGATTGCTTCATTCTTCGTCCCTCACAAGGTCCATGGACAGTGAGATAAAAGAATCAATGATTCGATTTAAAAGTGCGTCTTTCATGTGACACAGTCAGTGGATTGGAAGGATGGAAGGGGGCTGTCCATCGGAGGCGGCAGCCTTTAAGAACTCTCTCTTGTCACCTTCCTACATTTTGAAAAGTACCCAACAATGCCTTTTCCTCTCCTTGCTCTTCCGGTAATGCCGGCGTGGGCGCATCAGCTTGCCGGCATTCTCCCGCTCACGGCACTTATCGAGTTCATCGACGTTGCCATGAAGTTGCATACCTTCGAGCTCTACGGGTCAGTCCCCCTCTGGAACTGGCCGATCACTCCGGCTGGCGCGCGTTTGCTTCTTTCTACCGAGAACACTAGCGACGCCTGCTGCCTAGACCGCTCGAACCGGTGTGAGATGAGCTTGCATTGCATTGACGGGCGCCATGGGGACTGGTACCCCAGTAGCGCTCCTACGACAACTCGGCTCTGCGTGTCAACATGTAAAGTTGATGTCATCGTTCGTAATAAGAGTCAGAACATATCAGACGAGCGAGGACGGAAACAGAGGCTGGAGTTCTTTTCCATCGCGTTATCGCAGCCGGTGGCTAGGTCAGCAACCGTTTCACAACCTTACGTCGCCGCCAAAAGGGCCCTTTGGCTGGCGTGCTCACTCCGATACTTGTTGCTGTCTACGCTAGGATGGCTCTGTTGGGTCGGAGCTGCCGCATTGAGCCTTACTGCAGGCTTGTACGTGGCAGCAACATACCTGACACTGATGCCCGTGACAGGCTACATAGTGAGCTTCACACATGGTGGCAAACCGCGAAGGCTGTTAGACGTGAGACCGTGCAACTTTACTCGAGTAGTCATTGCTACTAGTAGCCTGAACGCGCCAGAATGGTGGGCATTTTATGGGGGTAGCTCCTACTTGAATTCTTTGCTCAATAAGCCACTTTACCGCGCACATGACCGGACCGTCTCACCACTCCTTCGTGTAGCGACCCGAGGAGTGGTCATAAGTCAATGGGCGGTCGCCGTTGTCTCTTGCGCTCAGCAAGATGGGAATGCACTGGTGATAGCCTTTTGGCTCTTCATATGCGCAATAACCAGTGCGTACATCTATCCTCCAGAGAAGTGCGTAGTAGATTGGCTGCGGCACAACAACCTTGTCATTCGGCGTATACAGACAACTTTCTCCTCGAGAAGGGCGATGCTAAGCGCGCTCGTCTACCTCAATCCCGATACCCGGGAGAGACGCCTTGGATGGATCAACCCTATCTTGGCTGATGGCCAGGATCGGAGGGAATGGGAGTCAGCTCTGATGGGATTGATTGAGACCGGTTCTTGCGTTGACCCTAGATCCAAGACACAATACTGGTGGAAGTTCATTGAAGAAGGTCTTGATATAGGTCGAAGAATCGAGATCTTGCTGCACCAGAACATGGGTAACAATGATGGAGGTACCAACATAACAACCAGTGGGAGTACGCCATGTTAGTTAGACCTTAACATTTCAATGGAATATCTTTGATTCCTCTAAATCAGTAATCTCTTTGAGTGCCACTGCATTGCCGTGGCTTTCACTTCTGCCCAAATAACCGTTCCCCCCACTCACCCAGTCAGACGGCGACTTGTGGAGCAGGCAGTGGCGAGTCTCTCGACCAAGACCAGTTGTATTGCTTTGGCTGCAGTGAAGCTTAAAAGGACGTGAAATCTATGGAACGGGATCGTGAATACTGCAAAACACCACCCGAGCAAGAAATAAAAGTGGCTACGGAGAACTTGCAGGAGTGATGCAGGCACCAACGGTTGTGACACGGAGGCCTCGCCGATCGCGTCTAACTTGATGATTGCTATCCCGCTTTTTCTCTCTCCTCGATTACTCGCTCTGGATTAGAATTCCTAGCTTCCGCAGACTATTAACAGCTTCGTCTCGTAGTTGACTGTTACGAAATAGGCCTTAGGGCTAGAGCTTTGTGATGTCCTGGTCAAGTTTTATGGGCTACCGCGTGGCGCTAGTCTTCTTTAGGGACTATAACTAAGGCTTGGCACGCCTGCGCCCAACGCCTCTTCCGCCCCGCGGTAGTTAGATGGCAGAGTGAACCCACTCCGTCATCGGTAGCACCTTGCAGTAGCTATTTCTGACCCTCCACTCCGCATCAGAGCACCACTACGCCGTCGACCTTGCCGGCGAGGCCCGTCCTGCGTAATAGTAATTAAAATCTTTTCCCTGGACCAACTGGCGCTGACGACGATGTGGGCAAATCTCCTCAATGGTATGTCCCTGCGGTGTTACTGAAAATGTGGTAGCGGAGGCCGGGCTTGGCATTGATTACTAGTGCCGTTCATGCCAAATATCATGCGTCTCCTGATATTGGCTGGAACCTCTCGTAACTTCAAAAAAGACCAGACACCCTTTTCACAGTCTACTGAGGCGTCCTATTTCACAAAAATGATGATTTTAGCGCGCCAGGATTTTTGGATCTTGGCAACCCAGACTTTTACGAATTCCAGACTTTTTCAACAGGGCTTGAGTTTCACATGGAAGTACGTCGCTCTGAACAGGCCAAAAAGACTCGCTCTGTATGGGAAGAAAAGGAAGCTCCCTCTGCAGCTCCTGATCTGAAATAACCAAAAAACAAGATTTTACGGTGAACAAAACCGTATTGAAAGTCGTCGCAATTGAAGAGCTTCCGGAATCAGTGAAATTGAAGAAGAACGAACTTGCTGAGCTTCCCGATTGCCAGCCACCTCTCAAAGTGTCTCCTTTTGCCTCTTTGGCTGCTTCGCCTCCATCCAGTTTCTGTTCTGTTGAGGCATCCCGCGTGTTCGGCTGTCTGTTGTCGGCGAGTAACTGCCTATGTTGCATGCAGTGTAGTGGCCATCGGCCTCTCCATAGATCAGAAGAAATCATATGCAAACCTAATATTCCATGGCGCTGCTAGGAGATGAGTTGCCATCAGCGATGGCTTCCCAACTGTACAAGCCGCTTGACACCGAACGACGCGAGACTCGAGTCATATCTCTTCTCCCCGGCAGGTGGTCTGAGATTGTTGCCTGCGAGCTGAGCGTAGTTTCTCTGGATGACAAGCCAGAGTACGAAGCCTTGTCCTACGTATGGGGAGACCCCGAAAACACCTTGCCGATGCTGCTCAATGCACATACCGTCCAAGTGACAGTCAATCTGAGGAACGCACTTCGCCGCCTGCGACGACGTAATGCCCGTATCATCTGGGTTGACGCTCTCTGCATTCATCAAGGTGACTTGCACGAGCGTTCCCAGCAGGTCAGCATCATGACCGACATCTACAAGGGAGCGATCGCTGTACAGATCTATCTTGGTGAGAGCCGAGTCTTGGACACGATATCCGAGGAAGAACAGGCGACTTGGGACCTCGTGGACCAACCACCCCGAACCATCTGGGGTCGATTTAATGAAGATGCGGACGCGGCAGATTATGCAAAAATTATCGCATTCCACAACATACAGAAGCGTGCAGATGGCCCCGCCAATTTCGGCAGTCTAACCGAATGGCTCAGGCAAGCAGATCTTGGAGCATTTGCGATTATGCGCTATCTCGCCGACGGGAAGTGTTTCACCGATTGCCTACGCAGGGACGCCGGTTCGCCGATATGGGTAGCCGCGTTGGAGTCTTTGAAGCACCTTTTGGATAGCCCATGGTGGCGACGTGTCTGGACCTTTCAAGAGGCCATGGCTCCACAACTAGCAACTGTCATCTACGGCGAAAACGAAGCCCCATTGGATGTGGTCGAGGACTCCGGGTCAGTGATCTGGCCGTTGCATATTGAGGGGCCCCAACGCTGTTGCAAGGAGTTCTTCTTTAGTCTCCCGGTGGAGCAGCGAGATATCCTTATGAGTTTCGTGACTGCCATGACCGATCAGGAGCGGTGCCACCACTCTCACTACATGTACGAATGTCCTCAGACAGAACGTTTACAAGAGCTCCTCCAATACACGCGAGGGAGAGTGGCATCCGATGCTCGCGATAAAGTCTTCGCTCTTCTAGGACTGGTCCGCCACCTTCCAGATCCTGTAACAATCCTTCCCGATTATTCCATGACAACCGCACAAGTGTACACCAGGACAGCAATTGAGCTCATTCGTCATGCCAACAATCTGGACATTCTCATGACCTACGAGATCAAAGACATTGTTTCACCGATTCCGTCATGGGTGCCCGATTGGAGCTCATCCGGGAACGACGAGCGCGCCGATGTATGGATACATAGCCGTGCACTGGAGTTCAACGCTGGCCCATGCGGCGCCGGGCAAGTAGCAGATTTGCGCGACGATCGAGTGCTTGTTATCAATGGGCTACAAGTCGATGCAGTATCCAACATTACGGCGCCCTTGGCAAAAGAATCCGATGTAATCTCTACGAGGCTCCATGAGTGGTTAAGTGCCCTCTATGGGTACTACAAGACTCGTGGCTGGCACTTGGACGAATTCTACCCCGGCGCAGCGAGTCTAACGGGGGCCTTGACCGGCAGAAATTCTCTTTCCAAAGGCTCGCACACCGTACAAGATGCATTGTGGCGCACGTTGATAGGCGACCTCATGCTCGAGCGGTACAGCATCCACAGACGAGCTACCCCAAACGACGAGTTGAGGTTCTCCCTCTGGTTCAAGAACGAGTATTCCGGTCTCTACGATTATGAGAACTTCTATCTCATCAACGACGTGGATGCCCCGACGGAAAGCGTAGAAGAGCCCCACCCCGAGATTGAATCTGTTCTCTCCACTTTGCGAGACGCGGGACACCGCTTTCGCGTCGTCATGCCCCGCCCACCAGAACCTAGGGTGATCAAGTTCTCCGACTACATCGCGCCAATCGGTCGCGCGTTTTGGGAGGCGAATGATGGTAGATCGTTTTTCGTCACGTCGAGGGGATACATGGGTTTTGGGCCCCGGGATATGAGGGAGGGCGATCTGTTGTTTGTGTTGGTGGGTGGCAAGGTTCCGTTTGTCCTAAGGCAGGTTTCGGGTGGTGTGGAATATGAGGGATTTACTGAAGAGGAAAAGGCTAGAGTGTATTCCCTGGTGGGATATTGCTACGTGCATGGGATTATGGACGGAGAAGCTATTCGTGGTCATGAAGACGAGGTCGGCCAGATATTTCTTCTGTGACGACAGAACGTTGCCTCTTCTACCATTTTGAGAACATACTGTCAGGCAGCCATCCCACCTTCTCCCGGTCATGCTGATGATCCTCATCTCTCTCCTTTCCGGTCATGCTCGTGATGTTGTTCTCACCTCTCTCTAGACGGGAAATGATAAAAATTGAGAAATTAAGGTCCGAATGTCTTCGAGCCTATGCGTGTGGCGCTTTGCGTTAAGCTAGTCATCGACGGATGCTCTGTCCAGTGCAACATGCATCTCTACCACTTCTCCAGGTGTCGGCTGTGCAGTGGCTTGGTGAAGTCTGTCCTAAGGGATTGCGGGATTTAAACCAGCTGCTGGAGGCTGACTCGGCGCTGCAGAAACGGACAGTATACCAGCAACAGCCAGAGGCTTAGGGGTTCTCGTTGGCATCGGGACTTGCAAGTTCTGAAGACGTTCTCTGGTAAAATAGGTACACTCTGTTCTTAGCCGATCTAGACAGAACTCCTCAATTGATGTAATCCCATGCTTTAACGGCCACAATTTTCCATAGATCCTTGCAGAGTTGGAACTTCAGCCCGAGTAAGACCACCATGGCGACGGTTGCGGCCAGCTCTTCCCATAAACCCATGCTGATCGGGATCTTTTTCTGGATATCATAGACCGTCGACACGAGCTTGTCTCCCAGAACGGTCCTTAATTGATTTGTGTAACAATCTACAGGAGATGCGTAGAAAGTAAGTTGTTCCATCTATCGAGATTGGCTAGCGTGCGTACATATATGTACAAATTCAGTCGTCAAATACTGCTATGTACCTGCGGTACACCGGCCAGGGGATGAGTGACACCTGAGTCTCACCCCAGTCAGGGTAGGAGTGGGGTCAGCAAGGGCGGCATCACTCTAGACCCCACCGGGAGGTGAGTTCGGGGCAGTTTACGTAGTATCTTTACGTAGTATCTTTACGTAGTTCTTGGCAATTGAGAACTCCGCAGGTGAAGAATATTATAATACTTAGTATATGAATATATGAAAATCAGCTGAATGTGCAGTTGACGTGCCGCTTCCTCTGCCACCCCATATCTTGTGCTAACTCCAGACGGACATGGTGACAGTATCCCTTGATACACCGATGTGGTATTGTAGAGCTTTTATCGCCGTTACAAACATACCTCAATGGCCGCCGATAGTGTCGACGCCAGACCAAAGGTAAAAACAAGATATGCAACCACTGGTAGCTGGGACTTGCTGACATCTTCGTCTAAAGCCGAGCGCCTTGCGCTCGATTATTGCTGGCTCCACTGCTGGTGCCGTTGAGATAGGTCTGTCAGCATGAGGGTCTATTCCCCAAGATGAAAACTATTGAAAATCCATTGCTGACTCTTTCCCCCCAGCTATTACATATCCCGCTGAGTGTACGATCTAAAAATCTACTACCTCAATGACGACCATTTCTCGCTAAATTCCTGTTCTTGCACAGTCGCAAAGACCCGATCACAGCTTAACAGACGATTACCCAACGCTCAGAAGCTTCCCTGGCCACCGTTTGGCAGACAATGGTATGCAGGATGCACGACCCTGATCATTGGGAATTCGCTCAAGGCTGGCATACGTACGTTCCAGGAATGCTCTCGTCCAAGGGAAAGGCGGAGCAGGGGAGTAGAAACACAAGGCTAAGCGATAGACATTCAGGCTTCGTCGCATTCGACTTCTACAAGTCCCTCCTCGAAGACTCGGATGGCAAGATCTCCGGCCCCAGAACTGTCATCGCCGGATTCGGCGCCGGTATCACAGAGTCCTTACTCGCAGTCACGCCCTTTGAGAGCATAAAAACGCAATTGTATGAAAACCCCCCCAAAAAATTCCATCCCAAGACACCCTCAACCCCTTCAGCTATCCCAAGCTTCTCCCCAGCGGTCTCCCAAGCTTGACTTCACTTCTTTTTGCACAAGCATACATCCGTCATCTTGGCCCATTACAACGAGCTTGATTGGGCTGCTCAGTTCGGAGTCGATGCTGACCTCGTCCGGATAAGTATTGGACTGGAGAATACCGCCGAGTTGAGGTTCATCTTCGAAAGCGCCTTGAATGCAGTCCTGGTCGAGCCTTTTCACGAATATGGACTCGAAAATGTCTACCGCCTTCGAGCTGAAAGCCTCGATCGTTGCCCTGGCTTCCTGGCGAAGAAGCTGATACGACCAACAAGTCATCTTGAAGAGCAGGTTGATCTGGCCAGCACCGTCAAAAAGCACAGGGGCATCTGATTTTGGTATCTCGCAAGTAGCTCCGTTTAGCAAAAGTGGATCAGTCAGGTCTTTGGCGGCCAAGAATTGCAGGATAGCCTTGAAGAGCTCGGAGAGGAAGTATATCTGAATTTTTGCTTTTGCGCTGGAAAGCCGGGCCCCCCTTGTCGCATGTTTGTTATGGGGGGAGTTGAGCTGGCTTGCATGTAGATTTCCAGACTCGAATCGATGCATGGTCCGTCCACTACCGTTGATCTTATTACAATTTCCCTGAGTTACTTAAAGTCTATTCCTCTCCTCTCTCCTCTCCTCTCCTTTATCGGCATCCTCGATCGCCCTATCCAGCAGAGTCGAGAACTAACTAGCACCCATCACCACTCCCCTCCCCTCTCTTAACCCCTACCCCCCAGCTCCAAAATCTGCATGATCCAACATCCGCTTCCCCACACTTCCCTTCCCTTCCCCCTTCCCCCATTCCTATCCAATAAAATCCACATCACCTTACCAGATCCTTCAGCACCTCGATCCTCTCCACCAACCCGACACCCAACAAGGCAATCTCGGCCAGGATTCCGCGTTGATTGATCAACCCCTCTACTTCCACCTCCCCCGCCTCCGGGCCTTGCCCCATCCCGCCTCCACCCCCCGAGGCGGCAGCGTTCAAGACAGGGATAGTGGAATACGCCATCCCGACCCTCCACTGCTGAGACATGCGCTTCCCGTCGTCCGTCGCGGGCAGAGGCAGGACCTTGGGATTCCACAGCGCGGGGACGAGGCGTGACCCCTGCGCGCCGTGGAAGAATAGGATGCGATCGCCGAGACAGCGCTGCAGGTCCTGCAGGAACAGGGCGATGGGGTCGAGACACAGTGTTTTCTTTCGCATCACCTCGTCGTCGGCGTCGTCGGCGTCGGCATCGTAGCGGCTGGAATAGCGATCGATCTGCAGGTTTTTAAACTTCGTCGGCGCTGCTCCGCCTCCTCCTCCTCCTCCTCCTCCTCCTGCAGTCTCGGCATGGCCCGAACCAACGACGTTCTTTTTCAGGTGGATCACGAAATCAAAGTCCGTCAGCGGACTGACGAACAGCCCTCTCCAGTCGTCGGCTTGCATGTCCAACCCCCCGTGCCGGGATCTGACGAGCTCGATGCTCGCTCGGGCGAGGGCGGTGAAGCGCGCGGCCACCACTCGAGGCGGCCGTGCACCTTGGGTCCACACGACGCCTGTGGGGTCGAGTGAGGGCGGCGTAGGCAATGCTGCAGGTGGAGGCCAGGCGGTAAAGCGGGTTTGGGCCTTCGCTATGGCTTCGCGAGTTAGTCCTCCGCCTCCTTCTGTTTCGCTGGGGTTGTTGTGGTAAGGGTTAGAGGAGGCGTTGAGGTCGATGATCAGCGGTTCCGCCGTCCAGTCCCAATTTGCTACGAAGCTGAGGATGCGGAGGAAGGCGGTTTGAGGGCTTGCTGGGGCAGAGACGTAGGGGTACGGATGCACGTACGGCCTTGCAGCGAAGATTTCGAGGATTTCTTCGGGGAGGGAGTGCGTAAGGTGGTGTGATGCGGTCCAGAGTTTGAGGAGGTGGATTGTGCGCGGGAGGCTGGGGTGGAGGGTGCAGAGGCGGGAGACGGGGGTTGTGTGGGTTGGGGTGGAGAGGTAGTGGCGGGTTGTTGATTGGAGGGTGCTGGTTAGGGCGGTGCGATTGGGGGGCTTAGTGGAGGAGGAGAGGGCTTTTTGAAGAAGAGTGAGGGTACGGTCGTGGTGGATGCGGAGGCGGAAGGGGATTGGTTGGAGGAGATGGGCTTGAGGAGAGGGAATATAGATGTCGAGGAAGGAGGTGTTGGAATAAGATGAAGCTGGGCCGGTGGTGTTCTCGAGGCCGACGCAGGTAGTAATCATAGAGTCGGAGGCGGAGAGGAGATCGCCGAGCTTGATTAGAAAAGCGATTTTGGTGCGCTGAATAGCCGGGAGAGAGTCTGGCCAGCGGGCGGATCCTTCGAACTCTATGATGATGTCGATTGGATGAAGAGGGGTTGAGGCCAGAGGGGTGAAGTCGGAGGCGTAGCGGAGCTGGGAGCTTGCGGGTAATATGGAGCGGATACTTAGAGGCAGACCTTCGAGTTGACGAAGCTGGGTAGTGAGTGATTGGAAAGCATCGTTAACAACCTTAAAGGCTGACTTGCGTGAAAGAAGTCTGTTTGGAGCCAGGACAACATGCTCTACTTGGTCGCCCAGGAAGTTGATCGCGCTTGATGGAATCTCAAAATGACGCTGTAGTATGTATGATGTGATTTGCGGAGTTACAGGGCTCTCTTCAGACCAGACTAGGCTCTCTGTGATACTGCCATCTTTGAAGCGACGCAGCTCGGCCTTATCGCCCCAGAATTCCCGGAAATCTGCAGCAGCCGCTTTATCTTCTGCAGATGGCCCGTGGTCAACAAGCCGGTCAACATGGTCCGGATCCAGCAAAAGACCAATCTCGATCCGCTTGTCCACTTTAGTGCCCTGCTTCAAGGACTTGTCGATGCTCCACTTCAGGGTATCGTCGTATCTCAGATGTACGAGTCTGGCCCTATTACTCAATGCACGAGACAGAACAGAGTGCAGCATTTGGAGACCTTCTTGGGCATTTTCGTGTTCGTGTTGAACTTGAAGGAAAGCGCGGGCTTCCAAAAACAAGCATTGGTCAAATCTTAGTAGGTCCTGGTCGAGCCTTTTCACGAATATGGACTCGAAAATGTCTACCGCCTTCGAGCTGAAAGCCTCGATCGTTGCCCTGGCTTCCTGGCGAAGAAGCTGATACGACCAACAAGTCATCTTGAAGAGCAGGTTGATCTGGCCAGCACCGTCAAAAAGCACAGGGGCATCTGATTTTGGTATCTCGCAAGTAGCTCCGTTTAGCAAAAGTGGATCAGTCAGGTCTTTGGCGGCCAAGAATTGCAGGATAGCCTTGAAGAGCTGTAGACAGGAGTATCGAGGAGATAGGGCAGGGCGACCATTGGAGCCACCGCTTTGGAGTAGCAAAGCACAGACAATGGACCATTCGAATGGTCCAAATCCTCCACGCGTGACACATCCTCCAAATCCTCGTTGACGAAGCCAGAGGCGACCCAGACGGCAGACATCTCGAAATGCTTCACAAGACGTGCTGGTTCTCTCGAGCAATCTGTGGTACAGTTCAGTAATCGCATCCGATCGAAGACAAGCATTATAATATGGTGTAGGAGAAGTGCTATCAGACGTGCGCAGGCAACATTTTGTTGGCAAAGTCTTGTTGCCGGGAAAGACATCGGCGCTAATTGCACAGATGATTCTCACGCGTAATTTGGACTTGGTGAATCCAGGAGGTGAGGAATCATTTGGCTCAATCACAAGCGATGGCTTCCAGGTGATCCCGTCCTGGTGCTCGAATGAAAAGTTGAACTCCTTCTTCGCATGCCCTCTGATACCTGCTGCCACCTGTGCTATGTAGTACGCTCGCTTGTGAAAGTAACGATGATTGAGAAAGTCCTTTTCTTGCACAATCGAGTCAGGTAAAGTGATAGCAAGATCAGCCGTGCAGATATCTTTGGACTTGATGCCCAGCTGAAGCGGAAGGCTGCCAACGACGTCCACTCGGGCAGGACGCTTGTACTCAAGGGTGTATTTGGTGTCTCTACCCGGCCTCGGATGTGGAAAAGGCACACAGACCCCTGCCTCCTTGCGCAATAATTTCTCTGCCTCTGGCGCTGTCATGGGCGCCACATCTGGGAGATCTAGAATAATCATTTGCAACCGGCGGACTGTCTCCTCGAGCCCGGACATCAACTTGTCGTAATCTGGTCTGATTTCTCCGAGGAGATCATTGATCTGGAGGGTCATCATGGACGAGCTTCCCGCAGTATTAGCAGCCATAAGCCGTTGACTGCTCAACTTCGATGTAGAAGAATGCCTCATGCTCTTTACATGTCCATTTCGGGAGAGCTTTGAAGAAGTCGACCTTGTCCCTTCGGATTGCGAATGACCATTCGTTTGCCCAACAGAGAGTGATGGCTCTGAGCTGGATCCAGATGAGTCTCCATCCTCGAATGTCGCCCCAAGCGAATCTTCCGACGAATGGCTCAATTTTCTTCTTTTTGCTTTGGGATTCTCCATACTCGGCTCTCGTTGTTGGGACATAAATCGTAATGGACTGTACTGTGCTGCCAGAGACGATGGTGTGCACTATCAAAACTTTACTAATACCACGCTTCAGTGTTATGTAAGCAACATGGCGATATCGGCAACAGATTTTCAGTGACACAATAGAAGTCTTTTGTTTGCTTCTCTTCCATCCATTATAACAGTTTCCTATTCTTCGAAGTTATTTCTAGTTAGACATCCTATGGTCATCCTCTTGCCTGACCTCCTAACCGTCTCTACTGTAATCATAGCGCAATGCTGACCGCAATTGGCCAGCCGATCCCGGACACAGCTCATGTATTTACTCTCCTATCTACTCTCCTATTTCTTGCAGCAGTTTCAGCACCATTTGTATTCCTGCTCCTCAGAAGAACAAGCCCCTTTTCATGATCCATGCACCTAGCATCCTCATCCTACCAGCCTCTACTTCCGAAAGACGAAAGACTGAAGACTGAAAACTAAATCTGTTACAGGCCGTGAGCGTATCACTTCCATCATGGAAATCTACCATTGGTTACGAGGAAGGCGAAAATTGGGTGCTGTCCAAGATGAGGACGGGCTATCCACGATTTTTCATTCATCTTACCATCCAAGAGCTGGAGCAGGAGATTCTGTCCCGATATGGTAGGGATGGCGAAAAGACCATGCTGTTCCCATCTCGCGCCACTGCGACCCGGTGCCAGCAGTTTCTGTTGGATAAAGAGCCGTCATTGACCTCCAATCACGTTCGTTTGATTGCCCTCATTCCTTCTGTGCGAGGAAATGTTCTTGTGCAAGAGACACAGACAGTCGCGTCCGACCTTTTTGCTGTAGCTTTCCCAAGTCGGTGTTCTACGCTTGCGAAGCAGATGTGGCAGCACTCCGGAGACGGCGTCTCTAGCCGGCGAGGTGAATTCTGCTTGAAAGCTCTACGGGAAGGTATACTGTGTAGGGAGGGCGACCAATCCCTGCCGAACCAATTGCAGGCTCGGACATGCAAAGGTCCACGCCGATACCAGAAGAAGGAGCCTTTGACTGAAAATGAGCGTGGCAATGGCAATGGGGATTTCCCCGTTCAGCACCCCAGTCCCACCATCCCAGGTCACGAAGGCAAAGAATATTCTCAATTCGTGGAAGAGCGTTTTGGACGGAATCTTAACGCAGATTTAGCCGCCAAGGCGAAGCTGGCAATTCGCAGACGCATTGCTGGCTGTCTAACAGACGATGCGGAACTAGAGAAAGCTCTCGAGGTATCAGAGGACGTTTCTGGCCACCGAGTGAATGGACTCTCGGAAGGCGACGTCTACCTCTACCCTACCGGGATGAGCTCCATATTTAATACCCACCGAATCTTGATGGCTCATCGAGCTGAGCCACGAAAAAGCATCTGTTTCGGCTTTCCTTATATCGACACTTTGAAGATCCTGGAGAAATGGGGTCCCGGATGTCTCTTTTATGGGAACGGGTCAGACGCAGACCTTGACGACCTTGAGAGACGATTGACACAAGGTGAAAAATATCTGGCACTCTTCACCGAGTTTCCCGGCAATCCACTACTCAACACCCCAGACTTGAAACGTATCCGGTCCTTAGCCGACAGGTATGACTTTGCCGTAGTTGTCGATGAGACTATCGGGAATTTCATCAATGTCAACACCCTTGCTCGAGCCGATGTGGTGGTCAGCAGTCTCACCAAGGTCTTCAGTGGTGAGAGCAATGTCATGGGGGGAAGCGCTGTCTACAACCCACAAGGACGCATGTACCAGTCTCTCCAGAAAACCCTGGACGTGGAATATGAGGACAACTACTGGGCTGAGGATGCAGTCTTCATGGAACGAAACAGCCGAGATTTCATCTCCAGGATTCAGCGGGTCAATGTTAATGCTGAAGCAATCGCCGATGTCTTGAGCTCCTCACCACTGGTCAAGGAAGTCTATTACCCCAAACACCGTCCTTCCCGAATTTATTACGACCAATGTCGGAATGCAGATGGCGGATATGGAGGCTTGCTCAGCGTCACATTCCGACATGTCGAGGAGGCTGTCGTTTTCTTCGATGCACTGGAAGTGCAGAAGGGTCCGAGTCTGGGTACCAATTTCACCTTGAGCTGTCCATTCGTCATCTTGGCCCATTACAACGAGCTTGATTGGGCTGCTCAGTTCGGAGTCGATGCTGACCTCGTCCGGATAAGTATTGGACTGGAGAATACCGCCGAGTTGAGGTTCATCTTCGAAAGCGCCTTGAATGCAGTCGGCCAGCTTGGGCTTAACAAGAAGGCCACAATTTAATCCAATATCGCATATTCTTTGCCCACCGAAGGACGATCCCATCAATACATCCAACTGGGTAGCGGAAAGTCAAGATAAAACGCTCTCGCAACTGAGTGTGATTTGTGGGGATGACCACTCATCTTGAAGTTGCTGCCAATTTCGGCTGCTATCGAAGATCAGTCTTCCCCCCAACACGCCCCACCAAACGCCCCCAGACTTCCCCAAATCCCCCCAAATCCCCCCGCTCATGATCCCCACCAATTTCCACCTCTAATCGACGTCATGCTGTGCTTTGGCAAGACGACTTCTGCAAAGCTGTGAAGCATTTTCATCGCTACTGGTACATGGTTGGTCTGGCAAACCTCCTATCTGGTCTACACCTCTTCACCATAGGACAAAACTCGTCCAACATGGCCTGGCGCTGTACCGGCAGAACCAACGCAGAGCTCATCTCCAACCTGGCCGCGTCGGGCCTCATCAAAAATGAGCGCGTCCTCCAAGCAATGTCAGGGGTATGTTCTCGTCCAGTCGAGTCGAACACCTACTGCTGTCACTAGCTAACAGAGGGCGAAGGTCGACCGCGCGCATTACTGTCCCGACTCCTCCTCCGCCTACGAAGATTCGCCCCAATCCATCGGCCACGGCGCGACCATCTCGGCTCCGCACATGCACGCCTCCGCCTGCGAATCGCTCCTCGCCTTCCTGCACCCCACCGCTCGCGTCCTCGACATCGGCTCCGGCTCCGGCTATCTCACCCACGTCCTCGCCAACCTCGTCGCCGGCACCTCCGACGCCGAGCGAACCCAAGCAAGCGGCGGCAAAGTGATCGGGATCGACCACATCCAACCGCTCGTCACTCTGGCGACGAACAACATGTGCAAGAGCACGGACGGAAGAGCGCTGCTGGAGAAAGGCCGCGTCGAATTCATCTGCGGCGACGGCCGGAAAGGCTACCCGGAGGGAGGCCCCTACGATGCCATCCACGTGGGCGCCGCGGCGCAGAGTCTCCACGCCGAGCTCCTCGAGCAGCTCAAGAGCCCCGGACGCATGTTCATCCCCGTCGAGGAACAGGGCGGCTTCGGTGCCCAGTGGATCTGGGTGGTGGATAAGGATCCCGACGGCAAGATCCGCAAGAGAAAGAGTATGGGCGTCAGATACGTGCCGCTAACCGATGCTCCGAGATGAAAGACGGATACGGTGGTGAAATGATAATAAGTTGCTTTTGTTGAGGGTTGGGCGGGTTTGAGAGGCGCAAAAGGGCGCATGGATATGGATATCCTGCCTGCTGGCTATGGTGAAAAGCATGGTTTTTGACGGCATTGCATTGCATTGCACTGCATTGCATTGTGTTGGGTCGGGTTGGCTAGGTTAGGTTTAGGTTAGTAATCCTTGTGGTCATGTAAACACATGCGTATATTTTTCTCAATTTTACTCAACGCGCCTCTACACCTACACCATCATCATCATGTACAGGCCAGTAAAAAAATCCTAACTTAGTCAGTCCAGCTCTAGGGCAGCCCTACCTACCACTCACCACCTCTTGGCCTTGATGGGATGGAAAAATTCAAAAAGCGAGATTGGCTTCCAACAGCTGAAGAAGAAAGAAGAAGCGCATGATTCCACCACCGCAGCAGGGCCCTGACTGACTGACTGACACGGACGGACGGACGGACTAAAAGCTATGGGAGGTGATACAACGGCGACGGAGCGCAACTGCTGACAGGCATTGGCGCATGCACACGCTGGTCAATATATAAGGAATGAGGTGACTGTAGAAAAAGAAGAAGAACAGAGCGCGCATTTGCACGATTGATACTCCCGGTCCTGACGTCTTCTTCTTCTTCTTCTTCTTCTTCTCCTCCCTCTTGTTGCTCCTCCCTAAACCAGGTAAAAGTGGTCGAAGGTCTACAACGCCAATTGCTATGCCAATGTTCGCACCCACGAAAACTCAATCCCAATCCCCATCCCAACCCCGACGTCTCGGCCTCCACAATCACAAGATACCCTTTACCAACCCTCCCTCTCAGACGCCATCGGTCCGCCCGTCCTCCGTTCCACCCCATCAGGCCCCAAACCCCCCCTCAGAAAACAAGGGGAGCTCTGGTCACTGCTTCAACAGTTTCTGGCCATATCCCTTCCCCATCGCCACGCCCGGCCGCGAAAAGGCACAGTAGCGATCCTTGATGGCGACGACCTCATACGTGCCCTCGTCCGAGGCACGCACCGTCTTGGTGAATTCGTCGCTAGTATCGTGTCTTGTCTCGAGGACGACCGGGTGGGATTTCTTCTTGCCGCCTTTCGGGTGCGTGTTTTCCGAGCGTGTGTACCTATCAACACCACACATGGGTCAGCATATTCCACAAAAGAAAAGGGGGCAAAGTAGTAGTAGTAGGTAAAACCCACGTAAACTCAAAAGGCGGCACCCCCGTAAAATCAAACACAATCTCCACCTCGCCGCCCTCGTGGATCTCGACCCTCTCCTCCCGTCCACGACTGATCTTCACGCTCGGCATCGCGTGGATCACCTTCCGGATATCCTTCTCTGCGCGACACTTCCCGCTCGCCGAGTCGCTGACACCTGTGATGGTGAACTCGCCGGGGCCGTCGGCGATGCGGCGGAAAGTGGTTGATGAGCTCGTGGCTTTCCGCTCACGGCCCTGGAAGTGGTAGAAGATGTGGAAGGGTGGCTGACCCGAGAGAGAAAACGAGACATGTTCACCAACACAGTAGTCAGTTTGTGATTCTAGTGGAATTATGGTCGGCGGGTTGGAGACGCGGATGCGGATGGAGGATGGGTCGTGGTCGATGGTGCGAGCACATCCGAGGCTGTCTTTGACGGAGCGGAGGCTCACGCTGTGAGTTCCTAGGTCCAGCGTCCGGCGTGGGAGGGTCCAGGATAGGCTGCGAGTAGAGATGTCTTTGAGGCGGACGATTTCAGGCCGCACACTGCCGTGATGGGTGAGGCTGATTTCAAGGGAGAAGGGTGGGGTGCCTTCGAGCGATATGAGAATCGTTTCGGTGTCTGTGGGGGTGGATGGGTCGGGGGAGGAGTCTTTACAATAAGAGTAGGTTTTGCCTGGGTTGGTGAATTTGGCGGAGGGCAGGGGGTGGACCTTTTGCCGAACTGTTAGGGGTGTAAAGTGATGTTTGGAGTGGGCGTATCGGTCGTCGCTGATCTCTTTGAAGGTGTATGTATAATCGCCAGCTTTGGAGGTATCCATCTGGATTGACGCGCTTCCAATCGCAGCTGTGATGGGAGCTTTGTTGCTTACAGACGCAGCACCCTTTAGAGGTTGCGATTTCTGTTCATACTTGAGAGTAAATGGTGGGTTGCCTTTTAGCGAAATGGGAAGAGCATCCTCATCGCCTTCGCAGACGTCTGATTTTTCGTAGCTTGTTTCATCCAGCCTCAGAGCAGCCGACTCAGAGATGAACAGAGTTGGTCTTTCGATCCAGGCAACTCTGAAGGTATTTGCTGTCGGATCAACAACGCCAGGACATGTATCATGAACAGATACGATCTCATATGTGCCGGAATGCTCAATGCTAATCGCATCGTTGGCTTGCTTGAGCATGACAGCACTGGGAGACGATGGCCTGTCTTGGTTGATGATTTCCACGGTCCAGGGACCGTTGCCCTTGAGTCGAAGGGGTAATCTGATAGGCTTTCCTTCTAAAGCGAGTATCTCCTGCCCACCATTGATCTCTCCAAACGCCGCACGAGGTCGCTCGTGTCTCACATTGATGGTCAATGCTTCTCTAATGGACTGAGGACATCCTGCTTTATCTTGGACATTGGTCAAGATCAGAGACTGCTGACCTCCACTTGTGAATGGAGGTGTGATGATGGAATACGTCGACACGTCCGACTGAACCGACACTTTCTTCCTCTTTCCGCCGTGAACCAGTTCGTAGTCGAGCTTCCAAGGAGCTTCTCCAGTAAGTCTAACGTCCACAGTGACGGCCTGATCAAGGCAGGCATGAACGTTATCCAGCTTGTGCATGAACTGGGCGGAGGCGAGGGGTTTGAGATCTTGCTTCAGAATCAACCCCTTACGCTTGAGTGACACAGGTCCATAAAACTTGTCCTGAATCTCAAGGAATTCATACTCGTATGATCCAGCCCAGGTAGGCTTGAATTCAAGCTGGCCCCTAAGCCCGTCGAAGTTGGCAGTCCTCAGGTCTGTCGATCCATGATGTGATATGCTGTATCTCACGTTGAATGGTGGTGTGCCCGTAAAGTCAAAATCTATCTTCATCCCAACGGTGTTGCCTGCACAGTTGTCGGACAAATCTTCTTTCGTGAGCGTCATGTCGGGTCTAGGTGGATTAGTCACAATGCAAGAAGAGGGTTCGGAGATTTCGCCAGCGCAGAACTGGCTGCTGATGTGGTCCAAACTGTACTTTCCGGCCTTGCTAATCCGTGGCGGGATCATTTCGCTTGCCAGATCCACGCTCTGCGTGTCAATGGGCGAGACTTCCGTATCGACTGATTCAGGTGCAAATGTATATGTCAAATGTAATGGCCAGTCACCACTTGCAAGAGGTCCAGAGGGTTGCATCTTCAGTGGCATCCGGATCGAGTCTTCTCTTGCAACCTGAAGAGCTTGTTGAGCATTACAACCATCAAAGAATATTCGGGGCCGGTTGTGTACAACAATACGCTGTTGCCTGATGGTGGTCGGCGAAGCGATCGGCCCATCTTTTTCAGAAGCAAACCTGACGACATTACCGGAGCCGTCCTCGACCTGTTCCACAGTATACGACCACACTCCATCCAGAGTCAGAGACTCGTTGATCGGGACCATGATGCTGATCGGTCTTGCCCAGTCAAGGTTTATCTCTCGTGGATCGACTAATGTGCTTGATACCTCCTCCACGTTCAGTGGCGAGTCCAGGCCAGGTGGTTGGATAGTTTGTACGCTTGACGTAGATTGCTGCTTGTTGATTCTCTTGCTATAAGTGACTTTGAAAGGTGGAACACCAGTCACGTTGAGAGCCACATCAGACAAATCGCCTTTACATTTATTGGTAAGATCTGTACGGATCTGCGCTTCTGGGCACGGCGCAACCAGCGTATTGAAGCTTCGTTTGCGGACCTCCAATTTAGATTCATCGATGACACGCTGAAGTTGGTATAAGCCTGACTCTTTCACCATATACTTCAGCACGCGCGGACTTGACTTGTTATTTTTCGGGTAGAGCTTCTCAGCTTGTCGTTTCATCTTGCGAACATGCTTTGCGCTGATTGTAATTATCTCTTTTTCGTATGTGTCCAGGTCGTACCTCACAAGCTCAATCATAGCGGGAGTGGTTTGATTGATCTGGATCGGTAATTCAATCGACCTGGCCTGCGCGCCCAGACAAAATGCCTCCCTCTCAGGGTTCAAGATTACTGAGCCTTCCGGGAGAATTTGGATGATCTGCTTTCCTAGGATGATTGATGAGTTATGCAGAATGCCCGCCGGATCGACACGGTGGTCTGAGATAGACAGCTCTCGATCGTAAACAAGCTTGAGAAGTGATCCAGCCCAAGCGATCACTGGAATGGGTATGCGAAACATGAGGAAGGCATTTGCAATGAGATGGACGAGATAGACTGTCAATGTAGTGAAGAATGACCACTCCAGCCATGGTATGTGCAAAGCTGGCAGGCCAAACAGGAAGAGCATGTCTATCACGTTCCATTTCAGGAAGCACCATGTCGAATCCAACTCGTCGAATATTTGCCAGTAGTTGGACAGTTTCCAAGCCAACAAAGCGAGGTATAGCCCTGCTACGTACGCTCTTTGCGAAGGCGCATCGACCACATTGAGAGGTATAAGGGTCGCGTCCTTCGCAGGTGCATTGGTCTGCCCGATCGGCTGCTTGACCTGAGGCGAAGGCCTCCGGGCGTTTGTGAACGCGGGGCTGTTCGGCGAGCCAAAACTCTTTCGTAAGCCATCACGGAGGATTTGTGGCCGCGGATCTGATGGAGGTGTGGGAGGATAGGCCGACCGAAGTCGTGGAGTCTCGTTCATCATCGCATCATGTGTCGATGCTGTGTCGCCCTGTACAAGGCGCAAGCTGTAGAGTAGATTCCTGAACTAGATTGAGCCTATAGAGGGCGATCTATTCTGCCTCAAGGGTTGCACCTTTCAATAATGTGGAGGCTGCACAAGTTATTTCACGATCGTTGTATTGACTGCACTCGAAAATGCTCTGTTCAATCCCAGCACTTACGCGCTATCACGTGAACATATAGTCACGTGATATTGCTCTTAACTCGATCAGCCTTCTCGCTTCTTCCTTCTGCCACCCTGTCCCTACTTTAAAATCCGACAGGCTGGACACTACAATTCTTTACCAAGGCTCTGGCTATGGTGAAGATGCTGATACCACGGAGGTTGGTACTTCTCTTTCCGCAGCAGTCGGGTGGTGTTCTTTCCTTTTGTGTTTGTGGTGCTATGTCTGGATCTCCGGGTGTTACGTTGATTTCGCTATTCACTTCATAACAGCAGGTTTATTCTCATCTGCTTCTTGTTTCTACCTCATACCTTTCATTGAAAATCCGTGTCAACAACTCCCAAGTCAGACTTTGCCGACAACGGTTCTCTCATCATATAACCACATTGAAGAGCTGTCTCTATCCTAGCTTAATGCAACATGGAGCACCGCGACAAACGCCCACGTCTTGACGAGACTGAAGATGTGGACTACAGTCCAGCAGGCAGTACCCCAGTTCCGGCAGCTTCCGTCCTTCCGAAATCTGATGCGGATATCACTACCACTACCGCTCATGATGCCGCTTCCGAGACAAACCGAGACACATCCATGCAGGCCAGTCCAGATGCTACCGGGACGCCAGATAAAGCTACATGGCAAGGCTGGGCGGAGATCGAGAATGATCCAGTATGTCGCTACTTGCAAGTCCTGGATTACCCTTTTAGGCCGTTTCCTAACTTGAGACAGATCGTATTCAATGTCATGCTACGAGAATGGGGTGTCCGTGGCATTCAGGTCAATGAAGTCGTCCCGCTTGATGCCGTCTTCGACTCTTCTCCGTCATCCACTTTTGGCCTGATCTTCCTGTCTCGTTACAGCACCAATAACAAAGAGGAACAAGACATTGCAATCCCACAAGGCCTTTGGTTTGCCAATCAGGTCCGTAAGCAGCATTCTCTGCTCTCCACTGTAGATCACTAACCGGCCACAGACTTCTACCTTCTCGTGTGCCACTGTAGCCCTCATGAATATACTCAGCAACATCGAGAACGTGAACCTTGGTCCGGAGATGTCCCAATTCTTCATGGCTACCAGTGACATGTCCTCCAAGGACAAAGGTCTGGCACTGCATGCCTTCGAGCATGTTAGAAAAGTTCACAACTCCTTTGCAACGTAAGCCAGCCCCTTTCCATCCGCTCTCTCTCCAATTGGTACATGACCAACCCTACTTCCAGCCTCATCGACATGAAATCCGTCGACCGCCGCCTCAAAGCAGACGCCAAAGTCTTCGCTCAAAAGCAAAAGCAGGCAGCCAAGAAGCCCGCCGTCGTCACCACCACCTCCTCCTCCAAAGCTAAGCCATCCAAAAAAGGCAAGAAAGCGAAAACGAAGCGCTGCGTCCTCTCCGAAGAGTCCGACGCCGCCGTAGATGAAGCAGACGAATCCGGCTTCCACTTCACCGCCTACGTGCCCGCTCACAACCTCCTCTGGCGCATGGACGGTCTGCAACGTCAACCAGAAAGTCTGGGAACACTGCCCTCAGACGACAGCAACTGGCTCGCCATGGCTGTGGCGGAGCTCTCGGCGCAGTGGCAGAGCGCGGCGGAGAACAATCTCGAGTTCTCGTTGCTGAGTCTGGTGGCGGCCCGGGAGGATGAGGCGGGCAGGATGGAGGAGAATGTACAGGCGGATCGGTTGAGGGAGGATTGGGGCCCCGCGCTGGCGGAACTGGTTAGGGTAGTTGCGGATTCGGGCTAGGTTGGTAGGTTATTACAATAACTAGTACAAATGTTCTCACTGGTAGCTTTAGTTTAGTTCTGTGGGTGCCCTCCTAGTCACGGATGTAATATTTCCCTGGACAGTCCGATTTGATTTCATAGCGTCCTCCAGCACATGATATATAAATCCTGGTAAGAGATCCTATAGATATCATAGCGTCATCCTCATCCAATGACACAATTTCAAACTTCGGAGAAGAGATTCAGAAGCATATCTCTATGCCGACCACTATGGTGTGATAGTGGTCTCCTGCCCTTGTTTATGATATTGTAAAAGAGAAGCATTCTAGAAAAGGCCATAAAAATGATATATATGCTGCTTTGATCTAAGGAAATAGACTGTCTATCTCGAGTATGAGTCATAGAATTTCTTGAACGGCGAGTAGGAGGACTGGAAGCATTGTTCTTGGGGAATGGGTGTGATCATGTCATCATCTCATCTCACTATCTTGGTCTGATTCATAGAATTACTACCTTCAGCCCGACGACGAGAGATGTTAAAATGATGTATTGGCATGATTCTGATAACCGGGCACAGTATCCCCCCTGTGGCAATGTGGCCATTACCAGAGACTCCAAAACCAAGATCGTTCCAGAAACGCGCCATCATCACTGGGTCCTCTCTACAGGAAAAAGCGTGTTTCAAGAAGTTTATTTCTCAGCCCAGCGCTACTGGGGTACAAGCCCTAACTTAGAGAGAAACCAGTACTCTCCATTCCTAATCGTCCGGATATTCATCGCGGATATTACTCACAAAGACCTTGTCCATATCATCCCAACGCTTAAACCACTTCCCAATCTCCAGAGGGAATGCCTCCGGCACGACCTCATGAGCGGGGAGGAGCTCGATGTTTTCTCCCGCGACGTAGCGCATTGATTTATCCTCTTGCACGCTGTGGAGCGCAGGGGTCAGGGGAGAGCAAGGCAACGGGGGTTGATGGGTGGAACACTTACAAAGCATGATAGAAAGCCTGTCCCCTTCCACCATCCAGACGGTCCACACCCATCCTCCGAATCCACTCTTCGTCCGCGTCGCATGTGCCGTCCCAGCCTGTCACAACAGCGACATAGCCGTACCGTCTGTGTCGGAAGACCTGTCCGACTCTGAACTTCACGAGCCATGTGTCTGGGTTGCATAGTCTCGGCTTTACTCGCTCGGGGGCCTCCATATCAGCCTTGCGCACGCTGAGACACGTCCGGCGGTGATCTGATACGGATGGGTTTTCGATCAAAGGTAGAATATATTTCTCCACCAGGGAGGCGTCGTATGGGAACTTCTCGACGAATAGGTGCATGAGCATGAGCAGATGTTGGCGAGGGCGAAGTGGGGTAATGCTGCTGTTCAGGAGGATGAGGGCCCAGAGAGCGGCGTAGCGGGCAGAGACGAGGTCGATGGGGCGCCCTGAGGAGGGTTCAGTGCTTTGCTGGAGGGAATTGACAATGTTGCGGGCGCAGCGGATGGTTATTTCGCGTGGAGTTGAGGCGGAGAGGAAGGCGTTGTGGTCGGTTGAGGTTGAGGTTAGGTGGCGGGCGAGAAAGTTGAGCTGTTCATGTAGGGAGGAGACTGGGACTGGGTTCGAGCTACGGAAGGGGTCCATGTATAGTGCTGGCAGCTCCGTGCCTGATGGGGGATCATTGCCGTCAAGGTCTAGACCGGGCGGTGGATAGACCACGGCGTGTACGTGGAGAGGGAAGCCGCATGGGGCAGCTGACAGACCGAGCTGGCGCACAACATAGCAGTAGATTATGACCGAGATAATTGGCAGAGAGTTTTTTCCTTGGCTAAAGAGCGCTCGACCGAGGAAGTTATGTTCGATGTTGTGGTATTCACGGTCTTCTGGGATGGCGACGAGGTTGTTGGAGATGAGATACTCGGCAGTCGTGATTGCTTTCTGCCGTGGAGATTGGTCTTCGATATCTGGATGAGCATGACGGACTGCATCTACATACTCATCAAGTTTGCGAAATATCTGCTGCCCCAGTTACTTCAGATCATGGAGGAGTGTGACACGGTGATGATTTGTATCTGGGGGCTATGACAAGCAGACTATGGGTCCTGCACTTACGTCGTCTATATCTCCTTCAGGCGCATCGTCGAGGATGAAAAGATCGAGAGCTCCAACTGGTTCTTCAAAAGATGCGTCTTTCTGCTCGCCGTCCTTCAAAGCCGCCCACTCTTGCACTGCACGGGACCTGTGCAAGCAGCCTAGCGCGACATGAGACCAGTATCTGGACGGGCATTAGTCACCGCCTCGAGAGGACCATGAGCACATAGTATACCTCCTGGCTAGATGATCATCGGATTCCGAAGCTCTATCATGGCTCTGGAGGAGCGCAGCTTTGGCATCGTAGCCAAGCTCAACAATGCTTTCAATCTTTGGGATTCGAGCCCTCTGACTGGAGATGATGCCCTGTAGAGCAGACATGGTCCTAATTTCTGCTTCGTGGTGATATCTGAACAGCTGTTTCCATTGCAAAAAACTCGGATCTGCTAATTTGGAGGATATCTGGTGCGATACAGCCCAATATCTGAACGAGCATCGACAGTAGTATTTCCACAACAGATGTTCGTTTGCCACATCTCTAAAGCGTCGATTCGTGGATTGCAGTGAAATGGCATCATGCCAGTCAAGAAAGAAGCAGACACTTCGCAGGATCTCGACTGGTAAACTGGCAAGCTCTCCTTGGGCCATTTCGGTGGTTGCTGCTTGGAGTCTCTGATGAATATACGTAGTAGTGTCAACAGTGGGAAGCGTTTGGATTGGCGGAGGCAAACGACATTGGGGCGATGACGATGATCGCTCAAAGTGGAAACCCACGTCATGCAATCTCAATCATGGTATTCTCATCGTGGATTTGTTCATTCACGGTGTCGTTGGCCGGCTGACATGTAAAACACACCCCCATTGACAACGATTTTATGGCCAACATCTCCATTCCTACCAAATTCCAAGCCGCCGATTTCTAACTCATCGCCGTTCTACAAATATTTATCAAAACCAACGCGGATCTGGGCCGAATGGCCAGAACCAATCAACGTTTGTCCACATAACGCTCGCTTAAGCTAAGTATTCCAATCCATTCTGTCTCCAAACTCGCACCAGTGGCGTTTGAATACTAGTAGTAGAAATATGCTCCGAGGCCTAAAGTGCTAAGTACTAGTAAATTCTGTTGCGGACAAGGGTGTGTTACACATGTTAGTTGGCCTCGTTAACACTCAAGAACCAGTCCTCGTGGACAATTCTAGCCAACGAAGCGCTCGAATTGCCTAGTAACCTGGAGCAGGATGGTGAACACACATAGTATAGTATACATAAGTGCCTTCTGGCGAGGTGCCTGCTTCAGATATGCAAATAGGGTGATGTCTCAGAGTTGAACGAAGATCCTCTTCTTGAAGTCCTCGAACTCGCACTCGGTCATCCCCTTCACCCTGCCCTCTTCTATCTGTACCAGGAGCGGTTTCCGGCAAAATTCCCACATCTGCTGCGCAAATACCATGACCTTTCTCTCAAACTCGCGAATTGGATATTCGTTGGTAATCTTCTGGAGCTGCGTCACCAATGAACGGTTGTCCAGCCTCTCCCCGGACTGGAGACTACCCAACAGGGACATGTATTTCAGCCTCGCCTTCTGCCATGCCGGATCCCCCTTTGACTGGTTGCCACGGTCGTCCGCGAACATGTCATTTATCATTAGCTCAGCCTCGATTCCAGACTTATCACTCGAGTCAAAATCTTTCCAATACGTGGATGGAATCCAACCCCAGGCAAATGACAGAGCCAGCGGATTTCCACCCTCCACGGTGCCGTCAAGCATTAGACATGATTCCAGGGCCGCCTGGAGCATAAACTGAGCGGCGAGTTCAATCCATTGCTCACTCATGCTCTGGTCGATGAAGATTGCAATCCTAGCGGAGATGTTGAAGAACAGAGGAATGATGCTACCAAGCGTTGGATGTGGCAGCTGGTTCTCGATCGTGGTCGTTGGTTGAGTGCAGAAGTTGTTGAGAGTCTTATAGATCGTAGACTCCTTTTCTGTGACCTGTGACGTTTTTTGGCGAGCTGAAAGCCAGTACTGTCGCCTTTCTGCAAGCTGTCGTTGTGCAGCCACCGAGGTCACAGTTGTGGAAAGTGGAAAAGGCTTCACGAGTCGATACACAACCAAAGCCACGAGCTCGAGAATCTCCATCCAGAGACGAACCTCTTCATCCAGCTCCTTTGACTTATATTTTGCCCGATAAATGTGTAGAAAATCTGTCAGATCATCTGTTCAGCAGCAGTTGGACCAGAGCTCACATAAAGTCAGTCTTACCATTAAGAACATGCAGCTGCGTCAAGACATTGGGCGAGGCCTGTAAGGCGTTCTCACCAACATTTCTGGCAGCAAAATCGTCGATACAAGCTTTCGTCACGTTGTAAATGAGATACTCCAGAATCATGGCATCGACATCCTCTGCATACTCGTGGTTTGCACAGCGCTTATCGCCCATAATAAAGTAGCGGAAAGGTCTATTGGGTAGAAGTGGTATGACAGGCCAGCAGCTGAGTACGGGAGATACATGACTTGCATGTATATTGGAAACGATAAGCTTGCTCCTCTGTGGATGGATCTTGCGACTCGAAACAAAGAAAGGTGCCCTTTTCTCACACCGACAGACTAATAATACTAGTAGTCAGATGGCATAAAAAGAAGTTAGTCACCATCCGGACGTATCCAAGAAGAGAAACGGCTAAAATATCTACTCTAAGTTGCGAAATAAGAGTGGGAGCTGGCTAACAATCTTGCTTACTTTTGGCTCGAAAGCCGCAGAAGAAACGGGATGCATCACCCACCCCGCCAAAAGGACAGCGCTGATGAGTTTCAAACCACACTTGTTGATGCGTCCTTCCTTACAGCAGGGGCAGCCATATCGGCTTGTCCCGACAAAGTGGCTTCGAACAGCCACTGCTTACCAGGGTTGAAGAGAGAATCTATATTGAAGCTGCCATGCGCTCATTCCTAGGCGTCAGGCACTGGCTCCTCACTACACAGACAAACATGTATTCATGCCGAAAGACTGCCTCGCAGCGACACCATCATGCCTTCTTTCCCTTGCTACCTTTCCCCCCCTTGGATCCAGTGACACTTGCTGGCGCCGCATGACCTCTCTCTTTGATATGGTTGAAGAGCTTTGTCTTGGATGCGAAATCAGCCTGGCAGACAGCACAGCTGAAACTCGAGGTAGTTGATTTAGTTGCTCCAGCGTCCTTCTGGGCCGCACGTTTTGCTCGTTTCTGTTTCGCCTTCCCCAGTTTAGGTTTAGAAGGAGCATCGCTGTCGGATGCGCTGGTGGTGTCTTTGATGGCGGTGGTGTCCAGCCCACCTGCTAAGATCTCCGCTTCTAGATCGACGAGCCGGCTCTCAACTTCGGATCGAGGGGCATAGTCATTGCCGTCTGATCCACTACTTAAACTTCCATTGGAGGCAAGCAAGTTCCCTACGGGGGTTTTGTCCTCGTCAAGGAGCTTTTCTCGTCCAAGATCCGAACCAATATGCTGGTCTGGAAGAGACGGCACCTTGTTCAGGCACCCTGCTTCTTCTTCCGCAGAACTGGATACTGTCTGATGGATAGGTTTGGCGGCTGCTGACTGATTGCCATCTTCTGTAAACTGCTGATCTTGATTTCTCATATCTTGCTGCAACTGCTTCAAAAGCTTGATGTGCTTCTTGCTCCGTTCGTGAGCCGCGTACTGTGCTTCACTTTTGAAGGTCTTGTTGCAAACGACACATTCGATTTCGAGCTGCTCTACATCTTCTCCACTGGAAAAGCCTCCCACGCGTTCATCAACCCTAGTTGGCTCTGCCCACTGAGGTAGATTCACTTGATCGAGTTCATCCAACTTTGCCTGCCTAGCAGCGCGGGAGCGTGCAGACTGTGCAGCTGCTGCCTCGCGTAGAGATTTCTGACGCTGCTCCTCAGATTTCTGATTTTCTTGGTATCGGGAATCCCTCTTCCGTACGAAGGCAACCAGAGCTCTCACAGCGTCATTAAACTCCCGGATAGCCTGCTCACGCAGACCTCTATTCTCCTTTTCCACCAACCGGCGGACCCGTCTATCAGGTGCATCCGAAGGACGATAGGCGTCTTTCCAAGAGTAGCTTTTCCTTGTAGCGAAGGCGTTCCATGCGGCGTAGAATGGTCTTACCACATCGTTGTAGTCATCTTCTTTCTGTCCAAAGTCAGGATACTCCACCGGTTCCATATTCTCCCATTTGCAGGCGATCTCCTCTTCTTTCGCGAGCTGACCAAAGAATTCCCGCAGTCCACCATAAAATCCAGCGCTTGAATTGCTGTAATCCGTTCGCCTATGGTATTTCACCGTGAATTTGAGAACATCGTCTGCCGTGGTCATTCGTATGTTATAGAAGAACTCATCATGTGTCTCCTGGCCTGACTGAGAGGCTCCAAGGAAGACATCTCGGTGCGAATCATACCACGCTCTTTCCTGCGCATCTGAGAGAACTTCGTAAGCGGACTGGACCTCGGCAAACAGCTTTGTGGCGTGTTCCACGTTGCCATAATTTCGGTCTGGGTGTAGCTCGAGCGCTTTCTTGCGATATGCCTTTTTGATTCTGGTGGAATCGTGTCAGCCCTGAGACCCTCCCGAGCAGAACTCCACTCACTCGTCGTCAGATGCTTGACGCTCAACGCCGAGTAATTCGTAGTAGTCGACCTTGTTCTGTCCCTGATTCTGTGGTGTATCGCCGTTAGACGAGTGAGCCTGACCCATGTTTTCGGATATCAATGTCCATGAGCAAGTCGCATTCAACCAAAATCAGTTGGTATCGTGACGAGCGTCATCTCAACCTGCCGTGGCGCATAGAGACCTAAAGTGGCAAACTGGTGTACTTTTCTGCAGTGGTTACCGTCCGCGAGATGTGCTTGGTCTGAATTTGGGCAGGCGGATTAAAAATCATTTCGACCGGCAATCCTGTCTTGGCGGACATTTAGATTTTCATCTTCTGACATCACTCCTCATTTTCAGATGTCACATACATAGCATCTGGGTTGGTGTACACAATTGCCGCCCCTTGTCGACCGGATATCCAGTGCATTAGGGAAGCTTGCGAGAAAACATGCTGCGGGTTTCTTGTCATCGAATACAACCAGTAATGTGCTCGGTGACAACCACCCTAAGTTCCTCCCGACCGTATTCAGAATAAAAAGTCTACCTACTTGAATGAAAATGAGACTGAGTGCCCTAGTAACAAGCAGGGTTGTCATCAGCTGGAAAATAGTTTCTGATCAACATGAAGTTTGCTCATGACTTCGATGCATCCTTGAGGAAGGAAGAATACCCTCAAGAATGGCTTGATTCGGCAATTTCTTATCGCCAGCTCAAGAAGTGTATCAAGAAGGTCCAGAAAGAGCTACGAGAACTTGGACTAGATCCGCACATACTCGAGCAGTTGTGGCAGAACGTCGACAACAATGATGAAATCGTCACGATAAGAGCAAGCCCTGAAGAGCCTCGTTCCAGGCCCTATCATTACTATATATCGAGTAAGCCAGCTAGCTATCAACCTCCTTAGGCGTAGAATAACCGCCTTCATAGGTGGAGGTGCAAATTTCAAGCCCAGGCTTACGGTTGCAATCGACCCGAGAGATGGTTCACCTCTTGATGCATGGCTCAGTCCTGAAACACGGAATTTCCTCAAAGGTCTTCCGAGGTCCCCACGGACAGAGAAGCAACTCTTTATCTCAGCTGCAGCAGGGATAGATGGAGGTACCTCGCAACCCACCCTCCTGTCTGTTTCCGAACACGGCAACACTGTCGAACTGGAAATCGGTGATTCAACGGAAGCTTTTGAAACCGTGGAGATTCCGTTAACTTCTGACTCGGAGTTCTTTCAAATACTCAAGCGAGAACTAGACGATCTCAACCGGCTTCAGGAAATGAAACAGAAGCAGTTGACAATTCAAATAAACAAGCTCGGTAGTGATATTACCAACCTGACGGAGATCGCATCTAAACGATCAAGGGCTGAAGTCGAGGCATGGCGGGAGATCTTCCGGCTATATGTCGACTCACAGATCTTCTTCTCCACGAGTAAGCAGGACACAGGGACGCGATCTTGCTCTGCCGCACAGAAGCAGCTTGAGGATTTCAGCAATGGCATCGCCGATAAACGGAAAAGGCTCAGATTATCCCACAATGGTAGCGCCGCACTTAATTCCTTTCTTTACATCAACGCCTCGCTCCTGCAATTCATGAAGTTCCAGGAAATCAATCGTACTGCACTAACCAAGATCATGAAGAAGTTTGACAAGCGAACAGCATTGCACATGCAAGCCAACCTGCCCCGGATGCTCGCCGACGAGCAGTTCGTTGCACATGATCTGGCAAAAGCAGCCTGCTTTACCATCCAAGAACAGCTGCTGCCGATCGTACCCCAGATCAACGACTATCTCTGCCCAGTCTGTTTGACTATCTCCTTCAAACCCGTCCGACTGAGATGCAATCACGTCTTCTGCATCAGATGTCTCATCGTCATGCAACGTGCGAAGCAAGACCACTGTCCCCTCTGCAGAGGCGGAGTCGTCATGGAAGCTTGTGGTGAAAACGTGGATGCTAAATTGATGAAGTTCCTGAAGATGAAATTCCCGGCTGAGGTCAAGGCAAAGCAGAAGGAGAATCAGCATGCCGCGGGTGTCGATCGATATGGGGAAAATTATGACAAGTGTGCCGTCATGTGAATGACTCGCTAGTACTGGGACAAGGGGTTAAAACGATTCTTTACGATTTCTCCAACTTAAGGCGAGCACCCGGATCATTCCATCAAGAGGTTTGCAGGAGGCAAGCTTGGGAGAGGTGGCGTGTCATCGAATCACCTTTGACGTGGTTCCCATTCCGAACTCTGCGCGGTGTATCAGTTGAGATTGATGGCTCTGCGCCCGATTTAAGCCCTTCATCATAAGAGGGTTCTTCACCTAGTTCACCAATGATCGACCCTGGGATGGTTCAATTCTCGTGAACTCTCGACCAGTCGGCGGATCCGCTGCTGTCTTCGCGCCTGAAGGTATGTGTTCGGTCACGGATGGTTGATTGCTTGATAGCAGCAGAAAGGGGGAGTGGATGTTTAGCGGCTCCACATTGAGATAGAAGGGAGAAACGTAATACGATTTACCGACGGCGGATGAGTATGGCTGGCGAGGGAGAGGATGGAGAGCAGCCCTGAAAACCAGGCTGATGAGATCAGGCGGGACCGGGACGGACGAGGATATGTCCGGGTGTGTCTGGCAAAGCCTTCAAAACAGCTGGCGTCCAGGAAAAGGGGCCTCAAACGTCCCGAAGAGCGATCGCTCTAGCAATACTAGCTTACCCTCCTCTGGACGTGCAAGTGCATTTAAGTGCATTCTGAATGCGTTGGAAGAGATAGTGCCCAGGCGCATTTCTTAAAGGAGCAAATGATTTAAACGTCGTTCCCTTAGGATTCAGACATGATTCTTCGACTAACTTGATTGAAAATGGGTAAGTAGCAATTGAAACCGCTTAAATAGCATCCGAGCAATATCGAATCTGTGTAGGAATGGGCATGATAGTACTTTATTTCCATGAAAGACATGCTCTGTTCCTATCGGCCATTATTTACCTTGACTGTCCTCGCCAGCCAGTTCGATCAGGAACCGCTAACCAGCTGAAAGCCACAACTTGAATCCTACTAGTATAACTAGGTTACACAATCAGCGTGGCAAAGCATCTATTCCTTTGCTATTGGGCATTTCCTTGGACAAGCTAGCACATTCCATGAACCACAGCACACGACGTCAAGCATCAACAGCACTCAACAGCACTCACTCGGGACCATGGCCACCAGACCAAACCGACGAGTCAAGTCAGTCCACCACGATCCGGCTCATCCCAGCCCGGCCTTTGTGTTCTTCACGACATGCTGAATAACCTCCACCCTTCCCTTGTTCCCCACCTTCCCGATCCCCATCCCTGAACTCCAACCCATCTTCTCCAGCATCGCTCTGCCACGATTTTCACTGCCCAACTCCGGCGCCGACGCTCCCACCACGTCTCCATCCATGTAAGATGCGCCTGCAGCAACACCACCTCCACCGCTTCTTCTCGCTTTCCCACCACCTCGCGACTTAGGAGCCGTCCTGTCTTTCTTGCCCCAGTAGGTCGAGAATTTCCGCTTGGCGAGCAAGGCATCGATTTGCGAGATGTTGTCTTCATCATATCTGCCGGAGAAGTCTGTCTTGGTCAAAATCGGGAATCTGGTATCGCCCTTGCCCTGCGAGTGTGACTTTAGATACAGCGCCTTCGCTAACAGATGGACCTGAGCTCTCTGCGGGCTTTGCATAGGAGCCAGCGCCAGAGACTCCCGGTCGTCGTCCAGTAAGAACGTTCTAATCTCGGCCTTGACTTGATCCATATCCATGCCGCTATTCTTGTACTTGGTCTGCAGATCAATCCTATTACCCTTCCTAGATTTAGCGCCTAGAAGTCCGGCTTGACGGAGCTCTTCTCGTTCCACTTTCTTCATAGCTTTCTTTGCGCGATCATTCGCCCACGATTGAGCCAGTTGATCTGCGAGCTCGTCGTCCTCGAGCTCGAAGGGCAGACCGTTGGCGGATTTTCGACCTCTCTTTTTCGGTTTCAGGCTCGGACGATCGAAGTCCATGACGTCAAAGCCATTGTATGGGTCTTCGTCTAGGACGTCGGCGAATGCTTCCGCAGAGGGGAATGTGCCTTTTGAGCGACGGTTTTGTTTCGAGCGGGTGCGATTTGAGGTGTGGGCTTTGGCTGAGAAGGAGATGAAGTCTTGGGATTCTTCAAGGGCGCCATCAAACAGAACAATCTCGTCTGTCTCAATACCTAGCTCTGCTTGCTTGTTGAGGATGCGTGCCAGGTCGGCATCTGTCATTCGAGATGTATGTTCTAGGATGCGTTCGTTCTCGTTATGTTCGGAGTCGTGGTCGCGTATCAGGTCGTTTAGGGCTTCGTTTTCCGGATCGTCACTTGATGAAACGTCCCAATCGCCTTCGTCGTCCTCATCATCAATATCCTTCTCGCTTTCATCTGGTTCTCCAACATGTGTTTCCTCGAAAGCAATAATGAGCTCTCTTGCGACGGTGGAGGTCAGCTTTTCTTGAAGAATCCATTTTGCAAAGTCTGTGCTTTGGCCTTTGGGGGTGACGAGGTATTGACGACCACTTGGACGTTCCCTGCGAGAGAACACTCCGCCTGGATCAGTCAGTTCGTCTTCTGAGGTTTCTAGTTCATCGAAGTCGCGCAAGTCATCAGAACTCCATTCATCGCGTAGACTCTTGCTTTGACTCTTCCGCTCAGGCACTGAATTGCCAGTTTGGGCTTTACCATCATGTAGGCCGGATTCTCTAGTGTCGGGGTGTTCATTCGAATCCGAAGACGCATCCTCCTCTGTGCTTTGGTTCTCTTTAATGTTCTCAATGTAATCACGTATGATCTCCTCCTCGTGGTCGTAACTTTCTAGAAACGTTCGCTGATCTCGCCTTGGTCGACCCTTCGAGCGTTTTTGGTCCGAATGATTGGTTGAACCACTTACATCCTTGGGGAAGCTGGTCGACCCTACCACGTCTTGCGTTCTTAAAGAGTACCTGGGACCAGACTCAGTGAGCTGAGTTGGAACGAATTCTGTGGCATCTGGCTTCAATCGTGATGGAAGATTAGCTGGTAATCTCTTAGGGGAAGAGCTGTCATCCTTTAGTCTTGATCCTGAGGACGCCTGTGCACCATCGCACCCAGGCATTGATGGAGGTGGGGATTTCCTTTTCTTTTTCTGATGGTTGCCGCGGCCTGCGAACAGTATGACTTCACTGGAGGATGTTGATGAGGCAGAAATTGACCGTGTTCGCACAAAGGAAGGGTTTCGGTTCGCATCAGGGAAGCCACCCTGCTCGGCTTGCTCTGTTATGACAGTTTCCACTTCTATGCTGGCGCCTACAACCTCCTCCTTGTTCATAAAAGGTGTCTGCTCGTTGGGCTGATTTGTTAAAGGCATCGGCACGTTCTTTATTTGTTCAGGCGCATTTTCGTAGTGTTCCGCATCAGCCTCCTCCTCTTTCTCCTCTCGGTTCGGATTGTCCTGGTGCAGGTTCCCACCACTCACAAACTGGATAGCAGTGTCCCGGAGTCGGTTGGAGTCCTTCCAAGCTGACCTGTGGGTATTGCGAGCTTCTTGGCTCAGAGTGAATAACTGATCTTGATTAGAGAACGAGTTCCAGCCTTGTAGTAATTGTGTGCGCGAGCCTGAATCCAAGTTTGGAGCTTTCGAAGTAGAGGATCCCCATGATGCGACTTGAGATGTTGTAGGCGCAGCTTGTCGGGATTTTTGGCGGGAGGCTCTTTTCCTGGCAGCCCCAGATCCCATGTTTGCTGATTTCCCAGACTTCGAGCAGCTTCCTACAGTCTATCTCGAACACTAATAGTACACCCTCAGGAGAAAGGGAAGATGGAAAAGTACATTGAAGGGTTAGAGGCCAATGATTGATCGGACTGCGCTTCGCTTCACATGATTGAGTGTAGCTGCAAGCAGCAGCCGCCTTCAAGTCAAATTATAGCTAGAATGCAAACACTGTGAATGCTGCACGGATGCATGCCATGCATAAGTCCTGAAGACTTAACGTTGACGTTGAGGTACGAGCAGAGGATTACAGTAAATATTGGTGTGGCCCCCCGATAACACCATGAACGAGGCCAGGGTCCAGGCATCCATGGGTACGGAGTATGTAAGTATGACTCTCTCAACCACCACACATCCCTTCACAGCCGCCACGTCTGCCATCAGAACTTTTGGCAAGATGCCCGGGTAAGTGCGAAGATATAAATTAGAGGAATTGCAGAACACTTAGACCAGTTGACGTTGACTGAAGGGGAAGTATAAGCCGGAAGAGTGCCGCCTCCGTTGCCTCAATCGAGCCACTTCTCCGCATGACTACGAAGCGATGCTCTACTGAACGAACGAACATCGTCCTTATGAATATACTCCGCCTGCTTTGGATTGCACCGTTCCCACCTCGCCTGCATTGCTACTGATTCTCGGCATGTTTAAGAGCGACCTAATGAATAGCGGCATTATCCGCTACTTCTGGGACCCAGAGCTAAAGTATAACGACCAAAGCGGCATTCCGATCTGGTGTCTTGGTCGGGAATATACGAGTCCACCTCCCAAGCCGGTCTCGACAACCGATCATGGTGACTTCGTTGAGATCGCATCTTCTGCTGCCGATTCCCAACCTCCCCTCTCCACCACAGCTTCGACTGTGTCGACCAGTCCCGAGTCAACTGCGTCTGTCCCACCAACAAGCAGTAGCTTCGATGACGCATCAATAGTGGATGGAGACATACCATCTATGAACAATGAATCTGCCGAGGGTGGCTGGCCGTCTGCTTTCTTGGACGATTTCGAGTCAAGGATATGGATGACATACAGATCGAACTTCCCACCAATACCTCGCTCTCAAGATCCGAGCGCCACTTCCTCCATGACCTTCGCTGTACGGCTTCGTAATCTGGCAGACCGCGAAGGCTTCAGCAGCGATACTGGTTGGGGCTGTATGATACGCTCGGGACAGAGCCTGCTGGCCAATGCCCTGATCATGCTGCATCAAGGCCGAGACTGGCGAAGGAAGAGGAAGCAGGATGCTGATGAGGCGAAGACGGTTTCTCTTTTTGCTGACGACCCGAGGGCACCGTTCTCGATCCATAGATTTGTTCAACATGGCGCAACTGCTTGCGGGAAGCATCCTGGCCAGTGGTTTGGCCCGTCTGCGACCGCGAGCTGCATCAGGTCAGTATCCCTTACACGATCATAGTATGCATGAATCTGACACATCGCAGAGCTCTCTCAACAGAAGGCGCTTCAGCAGGCCTACGCGTCTACGTAACATCCGACTCGTCAGACGTGTACGAAGACACCTTCCGCAGCGTCGCCGCAGATACATCCAGCCAAATCCAACCCACTCTCATCCTCCTCGGCATACGTCTAGGCCCCGACCGAATCACCCCTGTCTATTACGAAGCCCTAAAATCCACCCTCACTTACCCTCAATCGATCGGCATAGCTGGCGGCCGTCCTTCAAGCAGCCACTATTTCGTTGGCTGCCAAGGCGACTCCTTCTTCTACCTCGACCCCCATGAAACCCGGCCCGCACTCCCCTTCCACGCCGACCCCTCGGGATACACCGAAGAAGAGCTAGCTAGCGTTCATACCCGCCGTCTGCGCAGCCTCAGGATCAGTGAGATGGATCCGAGTATGCTGCTCGGCTTCTTGATCCGCGACGAGAAGGACTGGGCAGATTGGAAGAGGAGAGTTGCAGAGGTTAGGGGCAAGACGATAGTGAGGGTATATGACAAGGCCCCGCCAGGGGATGGACAGACGAAGGAGAGGGAGGGGGCCGTGGATGAGGTTGAAACCTTTGATGATACAGAGGACGAGGAGGATACGCTTACCGAGGTCGGGGTTTGATGTTAGGAGGCTGCACTGTCTTTCTGAAGATCGCATAGCGATGGTGTTGAGGATTGAGGATCTCAGATATGAAGTCAAAGAGGGTGCAGGTTTTATATCTTGTAACGGGTTATGATATCAAGGGCTATGGGTATCCTATACTACTACTCCGTACTCCAGGAGCGAACAGGATCTTACTAGTAGTTGATCGCTATGCTAGTACTACTGTTGTTTATTAATACCGGGACACGGTCGGCGCGTGATAAGCTACGTAGAACTGCTCTGCTGATTTTCATGCTTCTGCTACTTCGTCCTGACTAGCGTGTCAGTCTCGCGCCAGGAACTCAAAATACTTGAAGTACGGGTGACGGAACATTGCTTGATTCTGCAATTCTGCGGTGCTTGAGGTTTGGTAATCGATGAAGTCAGGGAACGTTTGTTGTTGAAGACACGTTATATCAGTCTTTGGAGGCATATAATGTGTATATCTTTACTGCGAGGTAAAGGCATAACAGGGAACAGCATGTCCAGATATTAAAGCCATGGGACAGGTTGCATTTGGATTTGGATTGATTGTGGGCTATCAGACCAAATGTCTTTCTGCACCAGGGGGTGAATATTGTACATAAGCGATTCACCTTGCCTCACACTACCTCTCATGCCAGCACTGGCAAAAGCCGACCCGCCACCAGCAACCCGATCGCCCTGTAAAGCAGAGCCGTTCCCATGAGCACATCATAATAAAAAAAAGAGTTCGCAACCGTTCAACACCCGAGCCTTCCCAAAGCACAATGCTCCTTCACAGGATGAAGACGTGAACGAGAGATAAGCAAGAAAAACCTCATGGAAGTGGCAGAAGTATTCTATTTGCTTGAGCTGGAGTATTTGGTCACTGCCTTTGTGCCCTCTGACACGGCATGCTTGGCCAGTTCACCAGGGAGGATAAGTCGAACGGACGTTTGGATCTCTCGCGATGAGATGGTGGATTTCTTGTTGTAGGCCGCAAGCTTGGAAGCTTCAGTTGCGACACGCTCGAAGATGTCTAGAAGATATTAGTCGATGACAGATGCGAAATGGGTTTTGATAACATACCGTTGACGAAGGAGTTCAGGATGGACATTGCACGGTTGGAAATACCAGTATCTGGGTGGACTTGCTTGAGGACTGGAGAATATTACGTGTCAGTAGATTGGATTAAATTAAAATTGAGATGCGCAAAAGTGGGAGGACCTACCTTTGTAGATGTAGCTGGAGTAGGTTTCCTTCCGGGTCTTTCCCCTCTTCTTCTTCTCACCAGATGGAGCGGCAGCGGTTTTCTTGCCGGCCTCCTTCTTTTCCGTTGCAGGAGCCTTTCCAGCTGGGGCCTTGCCACCAGTGGATGGCTTCTTCTCAGCAGCTTTGGCAGGCATTTTTGGAGTTTTGGGTGTGATTTAACGCGAAATGCGAAACTTGGAAATGGATGAGACGGTTGGACGGATGAGACCGATAGATGTGGTAGAGTTGTTGTGGATGTTGGATGAAGGAGAAGAGAGAGTGGAAGCCGCGAAGTGCGAGGGTTGAATGTACTTATACTAGCAGGCGAGGCAAGGTGGGTTGATCCAACTTTGCAGGCACAATTTCAGTACCGTATTGGATTGGTATGATCTTTACGCCACTTTTACTTTTTAGTATGGGAAATAGGGCAAAAGTTGCGATTGTGAAGCTAGGCAGTATTAGGCATGGTCCGGCTGTATTATTGGTAAGGGCGGTGTAAGAGATCAGTGCGCTGTTAGAGTGTTTTGAGTTGGGGGCTTGGACTGATCTTTGAGTGGGGGTACTGGCAGGTGCTTGGCGTACAGCTTGGGATCACCTAGCTTTTAACTGAACGGGAACTATCCAAGCAACTCTGATCTGGCCCTGTCATTGGATCACCACACAACTAACATTTGTGGGTTGATCTGAAGGTGCACCCACTGTCAGAACGTCACCCCCTACAAACACCTTATAAATTGCTCACCCACCACCATCCACGCATTGCCTTGCTCTTCTGAAATTCATCCATCCACGTTTCAACATCCATCTGCAAAGCTACAACAACCTCAATTTCATCTCTCAACCTCTTCTTCGGTTTTCAACCTTTTCAAGCAACCCTTAATCAACATGTCTGGAGGTAAATCAGGTGGCAAGTCAAGCTCTGGCAAGAATGCTCAATCGTGAGTCCCACTTGTTGTGATTCTGAAGCTTCAAAGGGCGCTTCACTTGACGCGTGGCGCGCATCTTGAAGCTCGGATTCCGTCCTATCTATCTTTGAAATCTAGACTAACACTTCCTGCAGCCGCTCGTCGAAAGCTGGTCTCGCGTTTCCAGTGGGCCGAGTTCATCGTCTTCTGAGGAAAGGCAACTACGCCCAGCGTGTCGGTGCTGGTGCTCCAGTCTACCTCGCTGCCGTCCTTGAGTACCTCGCCGCTGAAATTCTCGAACTGGCCGGGAACGCCGCCCGTGACAATAAGAAGACTCGAATCATCCCTCGTCATCTCCAACTCGCCATCCGAAACGATGAGGAATTGAACAAGCTCCTCGGCCACGTCACAATCGCTCAAGGTGGTGTCCTGCCAAACATCCACCAGAGTAAGTTGCATTTCGTCCTACGGCTCCAAGCAGTCCACTGACAATGGGTTTCAGATCTCCTGCCAAAGAAGACTGCCAAGGGCAAGCCTGGAAGCCAAGAGCTATGAGTGTCTTCATCTTCTGGCGTGACTTTGCGGATTCTTTCATGATGCGTCTACGGGGTTCTGGTTTGGGTCCAATCATGGTTTGCTTTATTCGCTACTAGGTTTGTAAATTATGTCCATGGACATCATGACATGGATGGGTTGAGAACGGACACCAAGGTGCAGGCAAGGCGGTTGGCTTTGCAAAACATGTGCTAGCGAGTGATACCAATCAATCATATCACAAATGGCAATCCATCAGAACGATTCACTTGTTCTTTCCTACCTGACAAACGTTTCTATTCTTGCTTTGCATTTCACCTTGCTTTGAACCTCTCCAATACCTCAAGATATGTTCTCCAGTTGGATGACTCCGTGACAAGCTCGCTGAACAGCGACCGCAGTAATGTAGAGGGTAAGTATGACATGGAATCTATCGAATCAGTATCAAGGTCGACGGTGTTCTATGTACTGCTCTGGGCGCTTTCGAGGTTATTTGGAGTACTAAGGTAATGATGACGATCCCGTCTTCCGTGTGCGTTCGAGCTCAATGTCCATTGAATTTATAGCTCCTATTATTCATGTACAAGTTTCATCCCTCAGTGCAGCGCATCTTTCATAGACTCCGAACCTGCTCCGATGAAGGTGCTATTTGTTCGTCAGCAAGAAAGGGGACACGGCAACCCAGTGAACTTACGAGGTAGATCTGGCGCTGGAAGGTTTCTTTCGTATTTGGAGCCTGTAGGAACTGGTTAGAAGGTATTATGGACCAGTGCGCTCCTCACTTACCCCCGGGAGCGGTAGGCGGCCTGTACGGATCTGGATGCTTGAACTTCTGCAGCAATTTCTCAGTCTCCATAAAAAGTATCTGCACGCCGAAGGTCAGCGCCTCGTCTCAATATTGATCATCCATCCCTCCTCATGAATGTCGTACTCGTTGCTGTCGCGGATCCTTGATGTCCTTTTTCGCGTCGAACAAAGATCGAATGTAGACTGCCTGTCCCCTCCATAGATTTCTCTGCACTGCCCAGTCTAGAGACAGCTTCAATGCCCGCCGGTATAGAGAGCTATCCACAGTCAGACACACCGTCAATCGCTCTGACCTTGGGGGGTGGGAGTACCGAACTGTCTTCAGTGCCGGGTTGACGGACATGACGGGCTAAAACACCGGCTCTACCATTCACTGTATGGGCAGTGTGTAGGCGGCAGATGTTTTAGAGCTGCCGGCCCAGGAGATCGATCAATTAGCCGCTTCGCAAGATGTTGAATGTGGTTGTTTTCGTTGGCCGTTGCCCAGCGGTTTGTGGCTTTGGTTAGTGTGAGGCTATTTTGCCGAAGAGAGCTGCACTTCGCCTTTTCGCTCCAGAGCTGTCAAACAGCTTTCCACATAGCCAACTTGCCGCCAGGAGCACCTACAAATACGGAGCCTCCGAGCTCAGTCACTCATTTGTTTCTTCTCCTGTTGCATTTCCTACGTCTGGTTACCTGCCTTATTCTTGTCATGATTTCAAGACCGCTCTCCCGAGCTTCCGCCGGAGCTCTCTTCCTACCACGGAGAGCTTGCTGTCGGGTGGCAGCTCGCTCTTACAGCCTTCTACGGACCTCCCGCTTGCACTCCGAGAACATACCATATGCTCAATCTCAAAAACCAGCAAATATCGGCTCGAAGTGAGCACAAGATGGTTACTAGGCTTGTTCGAGTGTACTAATGCCTCCAGATGTCTCCTCACTCCACTCAACACGTCTACCTTCAGCACGACTTCACGAATAAATGGTTTGCTAGGCTCGGCTTCTTGGGAAGGCAGTGTTGACCTGGTGCTGATGCAGCCGAGACGATGGTGAAGGTACCCCAAATGGCCGAGTCGATATCAGAAGGAACCTTAAAGCAGTTCAGCAAACGCATGTCTCCAGTATCGGCCTTTCGATCCAATGAGCTTACAATGATGTAGAGGTCGGCGACTATGTGGAACGGGACGAAGAGATAGCAACAATTGAAACAGACAAGGCAAGACGGCATGCTAGAGTACACTTTGGTGCGAGTGCTGACACTATCCCTTAGATCGATGTATCCGTCAATTCTCCTGAGGCTGGCACTATCAAGGAGTTTCTGGCAAAGGAAGAGGACACCGTGACAGTCGGGCAAGATTTGGTGAGGCTCGAGGCAGGGGAATCAGGAGGCGGTGAAGAAAAGCAGGCAACGCAGGAGCCTAAAGAGCCAGCTCCTGGTGATCAGAAGAAGTCGTCCGATCCACAAGAAGAGGGTAAACCCTCGAAAGATGAGCAAAAACCGCCTCCTCAGGAGGAGAAGAAGGCGGCCCCCCCTCCACAGAAAGAGGACAAGGCTCCTCCCCCGCCGCCCAAGGAGGATAAAACGCCAGCTCCACCATCTCCAAGGTCAAAGGAGGAGAAGAAGTCAGAGCAGCCTAGACCGCAAGGTTCGCCCTTTGGCGCAGGTTCAAGGGGAGAGAACAGGGTTTGTGGTTGTCTGCCTCCCGTTAGTTATGGGCTAATGCTTCCAGGTGAAAATGAATCGAATGCGCTTACGGATAGCCGAGCGTCTTAAGCAGTCGCAGAACACTGCCGCTTCGCTTACGACGTTTAATGAGGTAGACATGTCGAATATTATGGAATTCCGGAAACTGTACAAGGACGATGTGCTCAAGAAGACTGGCGTCAAACTGGGGTTTATGAGCGCCTTTGCCAGGGCAAGCATATTGGCACTGAAGGAGATCCCGGCTGCCAATGCATCCATCGAAGGCCCTGGCGGCGGCGACACTATTGTCTATAGAGACTATGTCGACATAAGTGTGGCTGTTGCGACGCCAAAGGGCCTCGTTACTCCTGTCGTGCGGAATGCGGAGTCCTTGGACATGATCGGCATCGAGAAAACAATCGCAGAACTCGGCAAGAAGGTAAGACGATACTGGGATGTGGTCATTATTACTCTTGCTGACACCAACAGGCTCGGGACAACAAACTGACCATCGAAGACATGGCTGGGGGTACCTTCACAATCAGCAATGGAGGCATTTTCGGCTCGCTCATGGGAACACCTATCATCAATCTTCCTCAGACTGGTGTGCTAGGTCTACATGCCATCAAAGACAGGCCAGTTGCCATAAATGGCGAGGTTGAGATCAGACCAGTACGTGCTTGCATCTAACTTCCAATCCGCGAAGCACATGCTAAACTTACCGCAGATGATGTTTCTTGCACTCACATACGACCACCGTCTACTGGATGGCAGGGAAGCTGTGACGTTCTTGGTCAAAGTCAAGGAATTCATTGAAGACCCTCGTCGCATGCTCATTGCTTGATTGCGTTAGTAGAGAGCGTTCTGTACAGTAGAATACGGGCGGCTAGTGAATGGGGGGGGATCCTCTTGGGCTCCGGATGAATCACTGATGCTGACTATGACTCTGTTTGTGATGCTCTTTTTCGCTCGCTGTCCCTGCGTAGTTGCCTCCGTCGTGGTCGTAACCATGGTGGTAGTGATCTTACATTCGATCCAAAGGGTAATTTACATGTCCCTGACCATGGCATTACAGGCTCAACCTACTATCTATAGTACGAGGGTTCTATGGCAGTGCCTTGCCTTGTATCCAAAAAACCAAACTGACTACTACTACTTAGTATGGCTTAACCTGGTATGGGATGCTGTGTAGGACATACTACTAGTAGTATGCTGAGTACGATGAAGATGCACCGTATCTTTGATTGTCCTGTGTACTCATACTTACTACTAGTACTAGTATCTATCCACCATCACTGCAACGAGTTGGTGGACGAAAGTGGCCAACGCCCCCGCGGGATATTTATTATTTTTATTTTGATTCGCACAACCTCCCCCCCTCTGGAACAACAGCAGAGGTGATTCCACCACAGCCACACATGCTGAATTACTAGTAGTACTTACTAACTGTACTAATGTACACTGAATACTAGTAGTAGTACGCCTGAGATGCACGTTGGGAGGAGGGTATGGTAGTACTTAATACTGTAGTGTGTGCGCATGTGTGTGTGTGTGATAGCTAAGAGGGGAAGGGTGAGGAGCGTCCGCCAAGCCCATCCAAATTGCAATTCTCAGCGTAACCTGAACACACATTTACCTACTAGTTGGTACCAGGTGAATGTTGAAACCTCTGGTTCATTCCCTGGCAGGTTGTAAGCACTCGGCACATGCGAATAGTCTACACACGTCTCGTTAGGTACTTAGAAATCGCCCTGTTCATGCACCGATTCAATAAGTTGCAACATCAGACCACCTGGGTACATGTAAGCCACAACTTAGAGGTACATGTAGTACTACGTAGGGCTCATGCCAAGATTCCGAGAATGTGAAAGGACTATGCCCACAGGAGTAAGTATATGAGAGTGTGCAAGGGTGCAGAAGGGTGCAGCTAAGCTAAACATGCTACGATTCCAGAGGACCCATGTGTGATCACACTGATTTACTGATACCAATACGTTGTCCCATATTGATAAGTAGAACGCTCATCTGGCTTCCCAGGCTAGTGGAGAGGGGCGAAGGATCGCGTATCGATGAGCAAAGTGACTGGCTTGCCCCGTCAAACGAACTAACCCCTAGACCATCGGTGGCAGTAGGAAGGGTGACTGAAACCCACAGGCAGATCGAAAAGCTAGCCAGTCGGAAAAGTTGGCCGTGAGCTTCAACATGTCGTGGTAGCCGGGTCCCTGAGCCGGAGGAGCAATCACGGCTGCCCCAGTCCTATCTCAGCCACCAAGCGCAGTAAGCTCCGCGAAAATGGGGGAAAGTCACCTTTTGGCAAGTCAAGCGGGAGCTCCTACCACCGCATTCTGCCTGAGATGACAGTCGGATCGATAGTACCTTCACCCTGGAGAGCCAAGACGACTTCGTTGACTCTGAGTGCACAAGATAAACGATGGATCTTTCAGAAGTGGGTAAACTGTGAGGCTGGAAAGGAAGCATGACCTGCTGGCTTCGGAGAAGTTAGGTTGTAATGAGATCAGGCCTAGGAGAACCACTGGACTGTAGATTGAAGAATCTGAGAACAAAGCATGGGTGCATGACGACACCTGATTTGGAAAACCAATAAGGAACTGCCAGGGCGGCGGGATAGATAGGTAAAAGGATCAGACCATGTTGAGGTAGGCGAAGCAAATGTTGCGGACGATCGATGAAATCGCCGGAACCCAACCACTGGTTCCTAAGAACCTCTTAAGTCGATCTGGCAGCAGGTAGCACAGATCCATTGACCGATCTGGTAAAGAGAACCGAAAAATGAATACACAATGAGGTAGCTGCCCTACCCACAAGGAGATACCGGCATTAGCAAGGGTGGTCTGTCAGAAGAGATACGGGATGGAAGCACACATTCGATCCTGCTGATGCAACGCTTAGAAAAACTAGACTTCAACCGGCAACGGTATTCCTCATCCGGAACATTGGTAGGCAGCCGCGTGTGACGTCCGAAGCATCCTACCAATCCTTCGTGGTATGCAATTTACCATAATCGTAGACATCGTGGTCTGAGGTAACGCTGACAAGGGAGGAGCGCTTGAGAAACACTTGATGTCATGAATGTCAATGCCCGGCGAGGTACAGGAAGCATGAGACTAGAAGCCCAATGGTACGACAGACGCACCAACACCAGGAATAGGAGCACGCAAAGTGGTTGCGTTTGCGGAAGCCTCCCCCGGTGGCAGGGACAGCAGTAGCCCGGTTGCTGGCAGCGCGAGTGTCATCTGTATAAACCCTTTGCTAGGACGAGCGCCGGTGGATGGCTAAATATGACCTGCCGCGTGAGCCGCCTCTCGATATGGGAATATGAATGGACCTGAAAAGTGTACCAAGATCTTGACAGACCGCATGACGTCGCGAAACCGTGGCTGAAGATTGGGTTTGTTGCAAAGCATATTCGAGTCGGACAATTCCATGAATTCGGTGGGTCCGAGAACCTAGTCTTCAAGTGGGTCGAGCAGCCTTCTTCACGACTCCGATTCTGGATATCACCCAGATACCAATCCTATGTGAGGTCGGTTGTGGATCCTCGGACGATCATAGACGAAAACATCTGAACCGTCAAGCAAGATGCATGATCTGCTCACGGGATTCACACGTTGTGTGCAGGAGGTTGTACAACCGTGGTTCAGTTGCCACCGCCCAACCAAAAATCGCGGTAGCCGAAAGAAATAGAAAGTAGACCGCTATAGGTGGATTAGCCTCAAGGCAAATCCATGCGCAGCGCACACCTTGCCCATCACATTATCAACTGCAGAACAATTTCTGTGGGACATCGACTACTTATGAGCTCCCATTCTCGCGTATACGAACGAGGAGATTGCGCACAAAAGTAGAAAGCGGTAGTTCTTGGGTTGAGGCATTTGTCTTGGACCATGTCTGTAAATGGAAGGTAGCTCACCTCTCTGCGTGAAAGTCAATTGTGCGTCTTTTCTGCGAACACGTGGGACAAGCCAATCTGTCGACCTAACCGGCCAAGCTAGTAATGACACATCAAGATAGCTTACAACCTCTGTACAGACCGCTATATGACAGGACGCAAGCCATAGGACTAAAATCAAAGTGACATGAGCCTCAGCTGTTGTATCACAGACATTAAGTATAAACCCGGCAGCTGTCAGATCCGTTGAGCGCAGGGGTGCTCAATCTAAGCCTCGGCTGCAGTGCTGGCGTGACAGAATAAAATATTAGAACTAACATCGAGAACAAGGATGATCTTCTCTAGTAGACTGTGGTGGACGGTGACGGAAATAGTAGTAGAGAAGAGACCCAAGAGTGTAGAGGTAAAAGAATGCGAAATCCTGAATAAGCCATGACAACAACACTCTGAACTAATCGAAAGAAGGAACACCCATACAACAGCCGCTTGGCTCGATTAACACTGCCCCACACGAAGAGATCAGTCAGCTCTGAGCCCCTGCTCCGTTCGAGTTTGCCGAGTCGCAACCCCCACGGCTGAGGCTTTCTTTGGTGTTCCCTGTCCGCGACGCTCTCTGGGAGACTGGTTTCTCGGTTCGTGAGTTGGATTTTACAGATTTCGCAGTCGGCTTGGCCGCCGTAAGAGTGTTGGGTACGCAGGTTGGACAAGAGTATTTGCTCCAACCTTTCCCATTACACTGAGAACATATTGGGCCTCTAACGGAGATGCCAATATATCAGTAGAGGTCGGAAGAAGAACGCATGGGGCGCTTGGCGATATTTGGATCGCAATGAATATAGAAAACCCGAACATACCTCGGTGGGTTGCCGGCGCATGCTCGACATGCTCCAAAGATGGTTCCATCAACACACCCATGGCGACAGATCGAGGTCATGATATGCGCTAAAAGTAGGATAAGTGGTGTGAGGTCAAAATGTTAAGTATGTTCCAAGTGCCAGGCTTTTATCTCTGGCATGAAGAGGGTATGACACAAATATATGTCTCGAAGAGGTGATTGAGACATATTCTGGGAACACGAGGCAATTTCGCGTAAACCCCAACCTGCCGTTGACATTGGTGACCGACCTGTACCACACTTGGAGCGCAATCTCAGCAACAGCTGACAATGCTGACTTCCAAAGTCTATCTTGAACGGCACTAGTAGGTTGTACAGCAGCAGACGTAGGCTTACCACCAGAGGGGAACACGTACCAGGTCCGAGAGACATCAGCGGGATAAATGAGGTTCTGCCCATCAATCTAAGCCGGTAGGACAGATTTCGATGAGCAGAACTGCAACCGGCGCTTTACCTAGCGTCGTATTAGCAAGAGCTGCCAACGAGCTCACAATGTTTCGTAGAGGGAGTAGGTGGATCCATGAACTTTCGGCTACGTGATTGGAAAGGAACGGTGGCTTAATCGCACAAGCCAGTATCAGAGGCTGATACAAGACACGTGGCAACATAGGAAAAGGTGGACTCGCGACTGTGCGAAGGCAGCCGACAATGTGCCAGTTGACGGTCCCGCTACACCTTAGCGCCAACTGCCAGAGCTCAGTGCCATGGAGCAAGCGGTACAGGGCTGAAAGGTGGTCCAATAAGTAAAGACCGACGGCCTCCGAAATATGTGCGCAACGGACCCTTGCAGCAAATCAACCGATGCCACCAGCAAGATCGTTGCTACCCTCGTACGTGATGGTACATTTCAACTTCGTTGTTGATCATCGGAGCTTGTTATCTTGAATGCAATGATGACGATCACCAATGGGACACTTTTGTCTGTCAGAGCCAGAATGGTAAGTGGGTTTCTCGGAGTGAATACAAACACCGTGGGCATAGTCCTCAACTAGAGTGCAATCTCATAGGCGACAGGCAGATAAGCAGACGAGGTCGACATCAGCCACTGCTCTGCCAGCTCTGCTGAAATGCCTACCGTGCAGTACCAACCGGAATGTCTTGCGGGGCTCATTACTGAATGAACTGCCGTAGCCGAAGAATTTAGGTTTCCCCCCTGATGTTCTCAACAATAAGATCTAGCACGGGAGATCTGAATTGCATTAGAGCATTGAGCAGAGATCTCATAGGAAAGCGTCGGCCCGTGAAAGACCGGAAGGTTCAGTTGAGAGGACCACTGTCGAAGTATTATCCAGGTGTACTGCACGAACCATGACTTCAAGCTCGAAAAATGTTCTATGAGAGGCACCAAACCCAGTAGGCGCCTCTGCATGGGCCGAAGAGCTACTTGAAACCCTCTTCAGACCCATACATACAGAAACGCAACATCATGTCGAGAACACCGCAGTTGGATGGGGTCCTATTGGCTTAAGACCCGTATGTAAAGAGACGAACCATCGGGCACGCACGCAGGAATGTGTGCACTCCACTGTACGTTAATCATTTTTGCAGGTATGGTCAGTGCCAATCTCATAGCAAGGCCAATAAGGCTATTGTCGACGTCAAGGCAGAAGTGGACTGAAAATCCGGCCATGAAACCTTACACTGCACCTGGGCGAATCGGAAAGCTCCCAAGAACAGTGCAGAGTACAAGATACGGCTGGGGCCGATATGGAAATGTATGTCGTACAGCAGCATGCAGGAAGAGACAGCAGATATTCCAGCCTTGGTGATAAGGTCCTGACTTTTAGAGAAGCAACTCAGACCTAGAAGGCAGTTGACAACCTGTACCACATCGCTTAGCCTAGCACACCAAGGCTCCAAGATGAAGATCGAGAACAAGGATAGGAGCTCTAGTGAACCATTGCAGCGCCTCAGATGCAGTGCAATGGCTTGGTGCAAGTTACTTGATTGAGTCGAGTATGGAGTGTCAGAAGTTGCAAAAGAGCAATAGGAGCTAATCTATCGCTTGTGAAATACTAGTAGAGCTAATGCAAACGCACGTGACTCACAGTGACATGCTGTCTCGTGCCTTTAAATTGACTTGGCTCTCCATGAAGAGGAACGTATCCCGTGGGCGGTAACAAGAGCTTCATGCATTCAGCCTCAGAAGCTTCTGTTAGACGACCGGAAAGGAGTAAGGGTCACAAAACAATGTGTGTCAGGATTGGGACATACTAAGCGCCTGCACCAACCCGACGTGATTGTACGGTGGTATTGTGGTTCTTCAAGCCACACCAACTAGCTGTCAGTGTCTTCGCTATAATGCTCGGGTGATATGGCAATTCGATTTACGGCAAAGGTGTGGCGCTCAGGCTGCTTGTGTCTCTCTTTGTCTTCGCTGAGACAAGTACATCTCACGCATCACAAAGGAGCCCCTCAACTCCTAACAGATAGATGCATTGTACGCCGCCTTGTAAGTATCAGATACTACTAGTAGCGCTTGACGATCATGGGTCACAAGACAGCATTACTTGGAACCTGCCATGCAGGCCAAAGTATCTGTCCGCCAAGCCATTATCTTGTTACTTCAAGTTCTATGGTACTCGTCTGTATCATGAATTGTGGTATCTCCCGGCCCAACCCACTTCTGAGGCAGCTTTCAAGTGGGCATTAGACATTATATTATACATCTAATACACCATTATCTGCACTATCAAGAAGATAGTTATAATGTTGTTCTTATGGAATTCTTCAGGAGATACTTACATCTTTGGCAGAATGATTTCCAGCACTGGCATGCAACATACTACATAATACGTAGTACCTTATTAGTGCATTACCGACATCACTTTTGCTTGTAACCACCACAGTGCTACGTAATGTTACTAAAAGGGTGGTGCCCATGCCCAAATACAGTACCCCCGCACCGCTCAAATTATCGGCATTGCAAAATTCACCCACTGCCAGTGGTCCATGAGTCTGTAATTGGACTCGCGAGCAACAAGAGTTCTTGTCCACAGGTAGCCAAGGCGATCCACTAGGTTGTCAACCGACTCCTCGCCGAATTGCATGTATACCTACACCTATTCCGAGAATTCACTACGGGATAGCTTTTACCCCAGATTCCATGCCGCACCTACTTGGGTTGCCTCTGGAGAAAAGGCCATGTACTAGGCCATCCTACAACCTATCATTGTACATATTGACTCGGTAACGTTGTTACGTACTCATTTAAAGGTGGAGGTTTCTGCGTCCCCAGCTCTCGGCAAGTGAACAGAAGGTGATCGAGAAGCCAGAATACTCGCAGATCTGTTCGGCAGAAGAAGCCCAACCCCACCGCCACCCAATTGAGGAGGGTCTGACGTTACTGATAGAGTATGCAAGGACTTTGTATACAAAGGGGGCATGGAACCCCTCTCGAATGTTTTTGGTAGCGCATCCACATTGAAGCTGCTTGGTATTCTTCCCAGTAAGACATCCTCCGCCTCAATTGACTTCACTACATCGATCAAAGAGCTCAAAGAAGATGGAGAGCCGCTGTAGGTCATCTGTCGTGGACATCGCTCGTCCAGATGACGGTGTGCTCCGCATCAATGATGAGGCCATTCGTCGGATGAGTGTCGCCAACCCTGACATTCGCAACATCAATCAAGAAGCAAGGAATGCAACAGAGAACGAGCAGAATATGACTCCCCGTCAAGATTTGAAACTCTATCCGAAGGCTGTCTTGTTCTCTATCATCTTCTCTACTGCAGTCGTCATGGAAGGTTATGACCTTTCAGTGATGAACAGTTTCTATGCGTTTACTCCCTTCAAGAACTTCTACGGAGACCAACCTGATCCAGAGGAAGGTGGTATGCTGGTATCAGCTAAATGGCAGACAGGAATCAGCAATGGTGTTCAGGTATGTGCGGTTACTGCTGTTATAACGCTAAATATTCCGCAGGTGGGATCTATCTTTGGGCTTTACTTGAACGGTATCATATCCGAGGCGATAGGCTACAAGAAGACAAAGTTCGGCTCACTGGTCCTCATGATCGCCTTCGTTTTTATTCCTTTCTTTGCTCAGAATCTTCCGACACTGCTTGCAGGAGGAATCTTACAGGGCATGCCATGGGCGTCTTTCAAACCTCGACAACTACTTACGCGGCGGAAATATGCCCGGTCGCTTTACGGGCAGCTCTTACCACCTACGTCAACTTGTGTTGGGTTATGGGCCAGCTTATCGCCTCCGGCGTCCTGCGCGGCTTTCTTAATCGTACCGATCAGTGGGCATATCGCATTCCCCTCGTGATTCAATGGGTATAGCCTGTTCCTATCCTGATCGGAACAATCTTCGCTCCCGAGAGCCCATGGTGGCTTACCCGTAAGGGAAGGTATGAAGATGCTAAAAAGTCTCTTCTTGCCTTGACCTTGAGGAAGTCAGACACGCCATTCAACCCGGACGAGCAAGTTTCCATGATGAAAGCCACCACAAAGCTCGAAAAGGCACTGAGCAAGAGCGCCAGCTATCTTCAATGCTTCCGAGGCACTGATGCTCGACGTACAGAGATTGCTTCAGTCGCCTGGGTCATTCAAGCCTTTTGTGGATCCGCTTTCATGGGATACTCGACACAATTATACGAACGTGCAGGACTTACCAATGAAAATTCTTTCAACATGTCTCTAGGACAATACGCAATGGGCGCTGTTGGGACGATGGGCTCCTAGTGGTTGATGACCTTTTGCGGCCGCCGGACACTCTACGTTATCTGGCTGGGAATCATGACGGGGCTTCTCTTGATCATTGGCTTTTCCGGCATTGCGCCGGAAAGCAATTTGAGCGCCAGCTGGGCTATCGGGTCGATGCTCTTGGTTTATACCTCTTTCTACGAAATTACGGTCGGACCGGTATGCTATTCGCTCGTTTTAGAAATCCCGTCCACTCGGGTCAAGATCAAAACTGTGGTGCTGGCCCGCAATTTCTACAACATGGCGAGTATCATCAATAACGCCTTGATGCCGCAGATAATTGGAGTCAATGCCTGGAACTAGGTGCCAAGACTGGATTCTTCTGGGCGGGCCTATGTGCTCTTCTGTTCACTTTGGTCTTCCCGAGCCAACAGGTCGTACATACGGAGAGCTCGACCTCCTATTTGAGCACAGAGTTTCTGCAAGGAAGTTCAAATCCACCCCTGTTGATCAATTTGCTGGGAAAATACCGATATCGTCCAGCCTGGCTCTGATTCTGATTCGCAGACAGAGAAGGTGTTGTTTTCTCATATCAACGGTTAGATCTGTTGAGGATGTTTTGGTATGCGTGTCGAAATGTTGATTATGCGATATCCGTTATGCAGCTTCGGACTTGATAGTCAATCGAGATATAGGTACTACAGAGTTCTTGATAAACTAGCAAGAATTGTGTAAACTTCGTTGTCCAGGTGTGCAATGCTCGGTTAATACTACGTTATTCTCAAATCGGCGAATTTCGTGGGAGTAAGAACTCCTATTGATGGACCTGGAGAAGCTGTCCCTAGGGTTGAGCGCCGCCCCGGCCCGCGTCTACGTAGTACCGGGCTCGAGGATGGTCCGGAGGTCTACGCAATAGGGTTTACCGTTATCTAGAGTTTGGCCCGATGCCCCTTGATTTGCGCTGTATGATGCAAACTTGTGCGATACGAAACCACCTATTATCATTATTATTATTATTATCCCAAACCACTTCTACGGTAGAATGGAGAGGCAGATGGTGCAGCCTCTGGTGCATTCGCCAATCAACGCACAGAATTCTGTGGTACTTGCAGTCAGGCTGATGGGACGCCTTGCGCGTCATTGAAACTGCTGCCTTGCCTTTTCTTTGAAATCAAAATCTTCTCCTTCATCATGCTGCTCTGCTTCGCTACTCTAGAGACGACACCTCGCAATTTTCTCAGTTCTGAAACGGTCTCCTCGATCCGAATGAAAGCGCACGCGACATCTCTCAGCATTGGGCGCAGTCGTCAATGGAAGCATCTGGCTCGGCGCTCGACTCGAGCAGAAATCTGCTTCGAGCATCATATTCGATAGTTGTAACACCTCGCTAGATGGCTCCCAACTTTGACGCTTGTGGAGAGCTATACAAAAATGCCTCATCTCTCACACCCAATCCGTACATCCAGTTTGCCTACAATGGCTCCATCCGAGGAGTGCTCCGAGAGGGCGATCGCCCTGCTCTAATCACATTCGAAGGATGTCTGGCTCTGTGTGGGCAAGGCTTTCAGCCTTACAAATGGATTGAGGCTTCTAGTACTATCACAACATGGGTCTTGCCAGTTATTGGAGGCCTTCTGCTACAGGCTCCATTCGAAAGCAACAGGTTCTGGAAAACTTTCTTCGCCCTGGTTCGATGGATGGGCAGCCCGATGAGTAGCCTTAGTTACATCTTATGGAATATCAAGGTTACGGGCAAATGCGCGTTAATGGTGGATATGGCAGTTCCCTATGACCACGTGCCTGAAGACCAAGATTCGGAATTCTCTCAGATGAGAGATGCCTTTTACATATTGGCGGTCATGAACCAATACGAAATCAAGTCCCGTATGCCTGAGATCGCTGCTGAGAAGCTTCTCCGCGTAGCTCTTTTCAGCAACAGCTTGAAGTTGACTTCGGACGAGGACAATGTTCAAAATCTACCGAGGCTGCGCAAAGTGTTAGCCCATGACCTCCGTCGTGGTCGGAGAAGGGGCACAGTTCCAGTCTTTTTGGCGATCCTCTGGTTTATACTTAGTTTAGCAATATCGATAGAATCCGCGTTTGGTGACCTCGGAGTGAATGCGACTGCACACAATCTTGGATTAGGATTGATGCTTTCATGGATCCCAGTTTTCATCATCGGCAGCATAATTGACCGCAATCCGATGAGCTCGGACGACACCTGCCTTCGTCTGAATAAACTGCTTGATAGGGTTCGGTTGGCTCTCCTCGACACCAATCTTCGGGATACCTACACAAGAGACACTGGACGGACATCAGATGATTTTCAGTGGACTCGGGACCTCAACGATCACGCGTATTTTTCTGAGTCTTTCTTCTCAGAGTTTGCCGGTCAAGGCCGCTGCCGCTGGCACTACGGCGTTGCCCACCCAATTCTCGCAGGCATAGAAAAGGCCTATGTGGCAGACTACGGACGAGATTGGATGCGCGACTCGGAAACCGCTCGAAATACCATGGTTGTCGGACCCGAAGAGCTCACTGGACTGAGATGGTTCGATTGGCGGGAGATATGGCAGATACTTTCTGCTATTGCAATTGTGGTCGGAACAATCACAGGAGCTATGGTCATTTCATACTGGACCCCAACCGTCGGACTTGGGTGCAGATCTGGCGGGTATCTGATATTCATTATCATTTCCTTTGCCTCGCTTTTCATCGAGATGCTGGTTTGGTGGCTCACACCGACACGATCAGGAGAAGTGTCGGGGTGGCTCCAAAAAGCAGCCATAGGTGACCCCCTGGTGAGATTCGGAAGCAGACTTGAACGGCAGTTGTCTAGATCGCAAAGCTACTCGTGGCAGACGTCGCTTGGAGAGAAGATCCAAAATTGGATGAGTGACTGGGAAGTCCTTCAGTTTCGATCCAAACTTGAGATTCTGGTCTTGAAACCCTTGGATATCTTCAACACTAGTTGGCTGATATACATCGTCCTTGCACAGACCTTTGGCTGGTACAGAACCTGCTCTTGTATGACCAGTACTTGGGCGGCTGGTGGTGGATACCTCGATTTCGAAAGCATTGTATCCTACAAAGCTCATGGCATCTCGCTATACTGGGGTTCGGGCACAGCACTTTCTCTTATATGTCTAACCGCTGGTCTCCTGTTCATCATTGCTGAGTGGTGTGCCCAAAGCCATCTGAGCACCATGGACTATGAAGCAGCGAGTCGAGGCTTATTAAGGACTAGGTGGTGGAAGTACCATACAGTTTGGCTGCGAAGGCTGCCCAATGTTATTATCGACAGTGCTGTTGTTGTAAGCTTGGCCCTGATTAGATTGTGCAGCAGGGGGAAGAGGCCTATACACGGAAGACGCAGTCTGATCTGGTCATCCCAAATCAAACACCGTCGGCCCAATCCCCTTGTTGTTATACACACCGTTCCCATGTCGGACACAAGGGATGAAGAGAATAACCTCCTACTTGCTAGAACCAGGTCACACCTTGATGAGATCTCTCTGAATAGTATCAGCACCCCGACTCCTAGTCATCAAAGAACCTTTCCCCTCGGATCAGACACAGAGCTCCAATCATATTTTGAATATAGGCCGACCACAACTTTCGGAAGAGCGGGTACTTGAGCAGCGGGCAGCTGCAGCAACGGAAAAGAGCAATGCTGTCTGGATTTGGAGGATCTGGTAGTTTCAATACTACGGGTCCTCTGTACTAGGTCCGACTATCATGAACAAACTTCGTGCAGCAGTATGGGCACGCGCTGTCAACATTTAAGGTGCCACAGCTTTACAATTACGGTCTCATCGTCTTTATTGATCTGGACGCATAAGGGTCAGCATACAGTTTCCACATGTGCCTGGCCTCAAAATCACTTTCAGTCACAATGCTACGCCTATAGTGTTTGACAGTAGTAAGCGGGACTTAGAAGGACCCTGTGCATTCATACTACGATTACCAGAATGTTTTTCCAAACTACAAAGGCGGTTTTCCATCTATGAGGATCTTCTTGCAAGAGTCTTCGCGTTATCCAACAAGAACAATCATCTGACGATAGATATCTGTTAAGCACTGGTCTAGATACCAAGGTATTGCACTCATTGTCTTTCAATGCTCAGCAGATCACTTAATATATTTAGGCCAGACTAGGTGTTTGACCCTCACCGCGTCTATCGTCATCCTAGTCAGCAACTGCATGACGAAGGACTGTTTGCAGCATCAACACGTCGATCACCAGGGGACCGTCTCTTCATGTGGCCAGCAAGCTTACAACCAGTCATTATGCTTCCAGGTGCCTGTGGTGAAAAATTCCCCGAGGCATACTCAGCGAGCTTCACGCCGCCACCTCTATTCCATCCATCGACTGCCGCACGCTGCTATCCAAGGGTCATATCATAGAACGTCTTGTTCGGCCTGGTGTAAGCATAAACCAACGACCTGCTTCAGCAGCACCCTGTTGTGGCGGTTCGAGCCATCTCGAGAGCATCTAACGAAAATCGACTCAGGGTCAGAAGCACATCCACCACTGCGGCAGCAATACCAACCCCAGCCCCTCTTCTCCCACCCAAAGGAGGATGGGTATTGCAGGAACGAGCTCGGATCCGATCCATTGTTATGCCGCGGTTAGGGCGGTGGAGGCGTGGCGGTGGGAACAGATAACTCATGAAGATGCTAGGATGCCGGAGGACGATTATGATGATGAGCTTGAAGGGTTTCTTCGCGGACAATCAGGAGTTTGTGGTGAACGATGAAGAAGAAGACGAAGAAAAGGTTGATGATTGGGTTGGAAATGAGGTTGGTGAGGATACTTGGCGCGTTGTGATTGGGAGTGATGGGGTTTTGCCGGCGGCTTCTTCTTCTTCTTCTTCTACCCGTTTTTGGATGTCTAGGAAATCACAACAGGCTCGAGTTGATCTGCTGATGGGTGAAGCTGACGATGGTCCTACCTCTCCGTCTCGTTGAAGCGGATGGGTGTCGGGAGGTCCAAGACTTCTTCTGGTTGAAGGCGGATATCTCATAATCGCTAATGATTACCGGGTGACTAGGTTACTTCCTTGGGTGATGCTAGGTGGGTAGGGTGGGTGACGTTGATGGAAATTGATATAATGATGGTGCTAATGTCTGACCTCACAAGTATGCAGAGTAGTTCAGATAAACCACGGCTCTGCTCTGGCTTGATGCCAAATAGATGACGCACTTGGCCAGGTTTGGACATACTTACTTCTGGGTGTGTATACATGATCTCTGATGCGAACTCCTGCCCTGGCATCATATGCTGGCTAACCTGACTACTCCCGTCTTCTTGTGAGAGTTCACACGGTGCTTCCATGGCCCTTGGCACATATGCTAGAGAATGAGAAGTCCAACTCATCAAGCATTAAGGTCAAGGACCCTCTATGATGGCCTTTGCACGTCAGGCAGAAAGAATGAAGTTAGTTCTTAGCGTATAGGAGCATCAGCTTCGTGACGGGAACACCCTAAGGATCGACTTGATTTGATTTGACTTGTTTGTCAAATGGAGTCAAGTGATTTTCATCTTATAAAAAGAGTCCGCCAAGACCTTTTCTCTTCATCAAAATCAACCCTGAATACTATTTCAAGCCAAGGACTTTGCTGCCAAGACTTCCATTTGACTACTAACGTGGGATGTCAGCTTTTGCAACAGGTTTTATACTCTTTAGCGTAGTAGCTAGGCTTTTTATATATTAGGTATAATCCTTTTTTGTATTACTTTATCTATTGGGCCCCAAATTATGTTTATATCAGCTACTAAATGATCCTCATCCTTATAGGTACTTAAAGTGCTTCTTACAAGGTGTAATCTTATCTTATAGGCCCTTATTATCCCTAACCTCAGACCCTAACAGCCTATCAAATATCAAGTCACCTAAGAGACTAAGTATTGGGCGAATTATCTTTTATAATTCTGGTTATCTATTTTAATTACTATTTTAATTAAAGGTAATAATTTGCTTAGTCAGTTAATCTTAGATAGATTATCTTTTACTGAATTCTTTAGTTCTTTGTAAAAGATAACTGCTAGTATAACATCCTTTTAGTTGACTTATAAGGCGATCTAGTAAAACTTAGAAGCGTAATCTACGGCAGATCTCTTTTGCCTTATGCGCAGTAGGTCTTATTCGGCTTCCTTAACTGTATCTATGTCTCTATATACTTATTTAATCTTAACTATAAAATTAGCGAAACTATAAAAGATTTATTACGTATCTAGTTCTTAATCCTTTAATGCTTCTTTAAGCTTATCCTTAAGGTAGGGTTTAAACTAATTATATATAGCCCTTTAAAAAAAGATAGTTATATATAAGACCTTCTTTTTATTAGTATTTATTACTTATGTATAGAATAGAAAGTTGATTTATAATTAGTTTAAGAATTCTTAAAGTCTCTTTTTATCTTTATAGAATAGGTCTAGTAATATAATTTTAAATTATGCGTTTCTTCCTTAGCCTTTAATAATAGTAATGCTTATTAGCCCTAAGGTAACTAATATAGTATATATCTTTAGATAATATATATAGTATCTATTTAACTGTACTTAGTGTTCTTAAGAGTAATAATTAAAGTGTTAGGCCTTAACTAATTAAGATAAGTCTTAATTAGAAGCTAAGTTTAAAGGGTTATTTAAGTAAAATAGAAAGTATAGTAAATAATACTAAGATGTCTTCAACTTAGGTATAAGCTAATAACATAAGTTAACTATAAAGACTATGAAACTATCTAGGAAATGAGCGTGCTTATATAGGCTAAGAGATTCGTGCTCATGGCTGCTTACTCATGAGCGCTCGTGAGCGTTGCTTATCAGTTCCTCCTCACGAACACCTTGCTCAAGGTTGTCTCCGCATGACCGTGTCCTTTTGCTAAGCCCCTTAGGCTTGGTTAGTTCCAGGGTCTCCTCACACAGGGTCCGTGCAGCCTTCAAGGCCTGTCGGTGCCTAGTGCGTTCACGTGCTGTAACATTTACTTATTAAGTATATCTTTAGTGCCAAGGTAAAGACTCTCAGAGCATTAATTTAAATAAGCGCCCAAATTTAGATACTTACAAGTATAGATTTGTAGAAATTGCGACTCCTTAGGATCCTAATAGTTCTTAAGATATTTAATCTCGTCAGGCCTTAGCTTTGAATAGATCTCTGTATAATTAGCCTCTAACTTAGCGTACGTATTACTCTTGATAAAGGTCTAAAGAAGTGCCTTTATCTCCTTCTGAATCTCCTTAGGATAGCCCTTATTAGCAAGCCTCTTTTCAAGGTTCTTAATAATGTACTAGTCGCAAAACTGCAGAGTTATAGTTAAGAGAGATATAGGTATTAAGGCCTTTATCCTAGCAGCTTGATTGCTAACGACAACACGTGGTATAAGGATAGAAGGATAGAAAACGTGCTTTTTGAGGCTCTTAAAGATGAAATCAAAGGATAGCTTGCTCTCTGAGCGAGCAAATGATAGAAAGCTCATAAAGGTTGAGTTACAATTTGTGATACCAGCAGTAATAATAAGCACCAGATTTAGCTTATTTGTACGAAACGTGTCATCAACAAAGAGGGTCCAGTTTGCTATAAAGTATTATGCGTATCGAATCTGCTTAGGATAAGCGAACCAGATCTGCTAGAGTTGTTGATTAACGACTTCGCCTGTATCCGGATTGAGTTCCTCTTCTATCTGGCATTCAAAGATGAAGCTAGCCTCTTTAAGAGCAACAACAAGGCTAGCAAACTCGTTTCGTTCAGCAGAGGCAGTACGAGATCGAATGTTGTAATAGGTACTGCGATCTAGAGGGAATCTAATCTGTTCAAGCACTCTAAGAGCAACAGAATATGATACATTAGCTGTTCGAAGAGACTTACTTAGCTCTACTGCAGGCAAAAATGCTGACAGCGTTTTAAGATGCTTAGCTCTATATCTCAACGGATTCGTAGCTATCAAATAACTATGAGTATTATTAGAGATACCCAAAACGAAGCCATATTCGCCAGATCCACGCTTTCCAATTTGCTTATATGCGAGATAGATAAGGTAGGAGCAGTTACGAGCGTTGATGCTTGTCATCTCCTGCTTTCGACGACTTGTAACAGCGCCCTCCTCATCTCTTATAACGTGTTCCTCAAGCTTACGAGTATTCGCAGTATCTCCTCCATGGTGTATGCAACGAAAATCGAACCGGGGCCGCGCTTGCTTCACGCTTCCGCTTGTTCGAACGATAGCGAAGCCCTGCGATAAGGCCCAGCCTTGAAGACGCTCTTGACACATATCTAGATTGACGAAGACCTCACCGGCGATAGGAGGCAGTAAGAAGGAGGAGGGGAGGGAGCGCACACGCCTCTCGAGCTCAGGTTTGAGGTGCTCTGGGCAATCAGGATGGGCAGTCCATAGCGACATAGCCATAGCAAGAATAACAACACCAAGGATATCTATCTCAGTACCTATTTGGGAAATATTGGTAGAATGGCAACGTGCTGAAATTGGTGGTTGAAAATTTTTGTAGGAACGGAGATATCGGCCATAAAGTGTTGCAAATGATGACCTGTTGCAAATGCTGACACCCTGCGTTAGTACTAAGTAAGTAATTTGTCAAATTTCAAAGTCTGGATTTGGTTTGACGGGCATTTGAATTGGTTTATTCGACTCAATTTGATTCAAATGGACACACTGACTGCTGCCGTCGCACCTGGAGGATTTCATTTTCTCTGTACAGTGGATAGGGTGTTTCAGTTGCGAATCAAGAAAAAGCTCCGCACCATACCATCTGCGAATTGCAACACTTTTGGAACGGGCAGTAAGCGATTCTTGAGAGTCCTTTTTTCTTTTTTTTTTTGAGAGGTGGTCGCTTCAGATTAGACCGTCCTAATACTTAGATTGACATTCTTGGTTCCTGTCTACTTCTTTTGCTAAGCTCATCGGCCGGCTCCGATTTTAAATGATAGAATAATTAAATAGCTCGTAAAATCAAAACCCGGTTTTCTTAACATTTAATGCTTAAATGTGAGACGTAAACTAATAAATTAGAACTCTTTCAGTAATTTGGCACTCGTTACAACTGCGCCTAGATCGAAAAATCACAGAATCTCTTGGTAATGTGAGATCGGTTCTGAAGAATGCAGAGCTTGCGTACATCTCCACACGCTGAAATGTACTCTTAAGCGAAAAAGTGTTAAGGTACTTCAAGCGCTGACAGGCTACACTCGCCCTTGACCGACATCAACTGAAATGACCGTTCCATAAATGGTTGTAATATCACTATTCCTCGTAGTTAAATGAAGTGGCTCAACAGACTCTAGCGTTCTTTGTCTAGCTTGTCAAGTTTCATATTCATAGAGATTCACATAAGAAAAAGAGAACATAAGTTATCTTTTAATCGAATTGCTAACCTCGAAATGTAATAAATGATGTTGACCTTGCATTCTAAGCGATCGCACGCACATCTCTTTTTGGTCATGTGCTTTCGTTTACTGGCTTTTGCCTATGATATCATGATTGATTGCAGGCAGCTCTGCTGGCTTTAGCCCTAAAAACGATCGTGTGCTCGAGCCGTCATGTATTCGTAAAGAAAGGCAAAACGGAGCTCGCTGTGTATAAGAAAGAATGACTCTAACATGCAGCATCTTTATCTTAAACAGATAATAATCGAACCACTCCCTGCTTAAGAAATGTCCCAACTTCCTTAATTGCTAAGTGGTCTATCTCGAATTCTAATCTATAAACGACCACATCTAAACCTATTCTCGTGACATATTTT